CTTTACAAACCAACAGAGTTTGTGAGATGGGTTATGCGGTTTAAGTATCCAGTTGAGCCCTCAAGGCTTGCATCTTCAGTTGAAAAAGGGCCAAAGAGCTGCAAGCTGCACTAGGCCAGTCACTAGGCTATGTTAGCGAGTGCAAACGCCTGAATCCACGGATGTGTCCTCCTGAATTTGCTGTCAGGGTGATATGTCATGTTCGTTTTTCGGCCAAGACGCTTCTCTTGCAGTTACGTGGCGGTCATGGTGTTAGCGTTTCTGCTGCGTGTTCATGGAAGAAGGAATCGCAAAGCTTTTGGATCTGAGGATGTGTTATTTCCTTCAGATTATTGTGCTGTTCAGTCGCCCCTTTTCTACAGCAACATTGACAACCTTCCCGAAGTTCCTGACCCGAACGCTGCACAAAGCTTCATCTCAAAACCCTTTGGGCATCAACTGAAGGTGAAGCGGGGAAGCAACTCGCTTTCGCACTTGTTCGGTTTCGTATCTTTTCCTCTCTCTCTCTCTCTGTTTTGGTATCCTTTCGAAATGGGAGAACCCACTGAGAGGCTAAAACCCAGATGCACGAAACCCTGGGGTCCCGGCGGATATTTAGGGTAATATAAATATACATGACAATGACTTGCAACGGCTTTTTGAAAAGCATAGTTACTGTATATATATAATACATATATATATATATATGGGATAGACATTGTAGCAGCAAGTAGCCGTAGCTCCGATGATTAGCGACCAATAAAGGCAAACGGAAAATGGCGACATCAGGGTAAAGACCATCGGATTTAGATGCAAAGAAGGCAAACTGCACCAGAAGACAAGTATCAATACAATTCAATACATATCAATACCAAAAGCTGCGATCCCTAGATAATCACGAGCGGGATTCAGACAACGGAGAAAAGACTCAAGGTGTGCACGTACACTTCATTTCGAAGGACATGCACCTCAATGATCCTCAGTGCATAAAGAGAAGCAGAACGCTGCTGAGCAACATGGAATGCCCAGGCTTTCAAAAGCGCCCAAAGATTTTGCCTCGGACGAGTCCGTCCCTTTTCCTGCCACCCGAAGCAACTCATTGGGATCTTTCTACCAGTGACGAGGCCAGGCACTTTCCTTTCCTGAACATAGCTGAACAACCGCCGATGCAACGGTGGCACTGACGGGTGGCCCAGGTGGCCCCGCGTCGCATGACCACATGGATGCGTACAATCCGGATGGCTTCAAGAAGCTGATCGAGAGCAAAAAGAGAGAGTTCAAAAAACATGCTCAAAGTACTGGCGACATCGAACATGTTTGAGCACCGTTTTTGCCGTTGCAATTCTTTTTTGGATTTATTCTTTGGCGATTTGTTCATTCTTGCCTTCTTCTCCATTACAATCCTTTCACATTGTGGACTTCAGATGTAACTTGGATCTGTGACAAGAGCTGCCATTTCTCGCCACCCTCGCTGCTTAGGGGTCGCTGCTTAGGGGTCGTCAGTTTTGGCATGGAATTTCGCATGGATCAGTGGACGGTGCTGATTTGAAGTTTTACTTTTTCATGCTTAAGAGAGATACATAAGTTTTATCGAGCTGCATGGGTGGTTTGGATCATGTGATTTTGATGGATAACTCTTGCTGGAGAAGTGCAAGATCTTGGACATTGCTCGCACGCAGCGCATTATTGCAGTTGCAGGGCAAACTCCCAGATCGAACTGTGCCGCGTGATTTTCCCCCATGGCACCGGCGCCAGAAGGTTCAGGCGGAGACCAAGCTGCCGCGGTGAAGGCTCCTGTCCAACATGTGATGTCGTCTGACATGGATATGACCCGACACGACTTCAAAGTGAAGATCTGTGGCGGCTACGAGGCCCAAAACACCACCATCAGCTTGGGTTCAGGCATTGCAGTTCAAAGTCGTGATGGTCCAACTCATCCCAGAGAAACCACCAAGAGTCAACCAGTGACCTTTGATGGTGGCCATCGTTATGTGGTGCATGCACCCCGGCCCTGCAGCATTGTCGATCGCTGTTGCCCGGAGCTCAATGTGCCCAATGTCTTGGTCAGTGTCTATGACAAAGATGAACAGCTCGTCGGGCAGCTTGCAGGCTTGGATTGTGGTGACTATGTTTGTTGTGAGGACAAGGACATTGCCTTGAAGAAGGTCTTGGATGGCGATGGAAAGCAACTCTTTGCCATCCGAAGGGCCAGCACTTGCATCGACATGTGCCACTGTTTCGGTCGTGGCTGTCCCTTCGCCGCACGCTGCTTCGGGTGCTTTCCGAAGATTTTGCTTCAATGTCCACACGCCTGCATTCCAAGACGCATCGGAGAAAGTTGCAGTTGTGTGTGCAACACCATCGGCATCCGAAATTGCTGCATTCCTGAAGATGACGGGTGGAGGACTTGTTGCCCTGGCCTCGCCATGCAATGCCAGATGTGGTACGGTATTTTCTGCTGCTGCTGCTCAAGTACATGCCCCTTTGAAGTTTGCATGGGCCCGTGCATTCAGTTTTGTGAGTGTGATAGGTGCTGTCAGTGCGAACTTCCTACGTGCACCTGGTGCAAAGTCTGTGCTTGCGAGTGGCCTGGCCAATGCCTGAAATGCAACTGTTTGTACCCTGAAGTGCCGTGCCTCGACGGTTGCTGCATGAACTGGAAGTTTGACATGGGACCTGGAATATGGCAAACACCCGTCGACCAGCCAGCAGCCGACAAAGCCAGAGTGAGCGGGGTGGTGAAACGGCACCAGCCCACTTTTATGCATGGCATCGACTCCGTGAGTGTGGACTTTCTGAAGGATGTGACGACGGCAGAGAGGCTCGCTTTCTCCTCCGTGATGTATTGGGAGAGCATGAACCAAACTCCTTTCCTGACAGGAGGTATGACACTCTCACGTTGGGAGACATTCAATCCTTTCTTGGACGAGAAGATTCCTTACAAATTTGAAGCTACTCAGCCGTCCTGGAAGCAATTCAAGGACACCGAGTAGGCACCAGGTTTGCTTCCATTTCCGCCGAAGGCTAAGCCTTGAGCTCTTAGGAAGGGATGCAATTCTTGGGGCTTTGGTACTGGCTCACTTACAGAAGGGTTGCACTTGTGTATCGCTTTCTGGGTGAGCCTGGTACCAAGCTAAAAACTGATTCCTTTTAGAAGACGTTCAGCGCGGTGCCAACTGTCATGCCATCTTCGATTAGATATATCTATATATCTATAGATATATTTATGTATAATATATGCATGGGACCTGGGGGTGTGAATGATGAATCCTCGGCAGCTCGGCAGCTCATCATGAGAAGACGTTCAGATGTTGCAGTTGAGTGAGAAGAATCATTGGCACCACACTGAAGGACTCTGCCCCCGACTTCAATTGTGAAGTGCTTGTGCCCAGAGGCTATTCATGCATGGTTTAGGTGACGGGCAAAGCTGGCAAAATCTGCGTTCCTCACGAAAGCTGATTCTTCTCTTTGCTTGCTGGTTGTGATTCAAGGCTGGGGATCTTGGGACGAATCAGCCTGTTGATCTACCCGCAGCGCCCTGGATCTCAGCGTCCGATCTCTGCGTGTCGCCAGCGAACCGCTGCGCGGGACGTCCGGCGCGGGACCTCTGCACGGTTATGGGGGAAGTGACGATGCGGTGGCAGCGCAAGGCCTTCACCTTCCGCGACGAGACCTTTCAGGCGCAGAGTCATGGCCGAGGGGAAACCCGTTGGAAGGGTTCCAGTTCCGGCTGAAAGTTTCGGTGCGAGGATTTCTGCGGCTGACTTACGGCATCCTTCGTGTCACCAGGTGTTTAACTTGTTCCAAAGACGTGGATACGTCGTGCGGAAACATTCTTCGGTTTCCAACAGATGTAATTGATCAGCATGGATCTGGGTCAGTGAGGCCTGGAGGTGTTAGACTTCTGTCAGCAGCTCTCGTCTCCGTCAGCGTTCTTCGCCAGGTAGAGCACTTTGATGTGGCGGAAGCAGAGTCTTCATCTTCCGGTGATGATGAGGAGTGTACACCTCAGCTAGCTGGAAGAGAAGCATTCTTTCTCTAATAGAAGCGGGAAAATGTTCAGCTTCTTTGGGACTCGATCCAGGTCTCTCCAAGCTCGGCTTCAGCGACGTAAACGGGAAGCTCAACTGCAGCGCTGTGAAGCAGAGCTTGGCGCTTGCCTTTGGAGCCTCAAAGCGCAGTTTGTGCTTTTGGTTTGCCTTTGCACATGCTCGGGAAGCTTGAGGCAACCATAGGCAATCCTTGATCCAACCATGTCGAACCTCATCATAGCAATCAGTTAAACATCAATCGCTTGCGCTGTGCTTGATGGTTCGTGCTGCATATAGAACACCTCTGTTTTCCGGTCGTGTCCCCCCGAGGATTGACACGAACCGCGCCGCTCTGCGGCTCTTGGAGGAGTGGCGCTCCAGTTACCGCGGCCTCCGCACGTTGGAGCTGGGTGCCGGCGCCGGCCGGGGCGACCCAGGGAGCCTTCGGCGTTGGGCGCGAAGCAGCCGATATGCAAGGATGGCTGGGTGTCGGGGCAACGAACGATGGAAGTTGAAGTGTTTCACTAAGAACATGGAGCTCTTCAGCTTCGACCATCCAAGCAAACCGAAGCCTCAAACCGAAGCCTCAAACCGCTCCCCATTTGCGACTCGACCTCCCCGAGGCGCGTGCGGGATTGCTTTGGCCTATGATGGCGCCACGTCCACGGTGCCGCGGTTCGACCGGGTGGTCTGGCGCGGGAACAGCGCGAAGTTCCCGCACGAACACCGCGGTGTTCAGGGAGCAGCCGTTTCGGTTTTCAAGGACGTTCGGGATGGTTTCAAGGACAGGCTTCTGCCACGTTCAGAAGACTGAAAGAATCCCAACAGAAAGAATGGCCACAGTAACACTGCTGGTGTGTCGGTTCTAGAACATCGGAGTTGGATTCAGAAAAGGAGTGTGTCTAGTCATCATTCATAGAGCAAGGACACTGTTGGACCAGATGTGATCCTCGGGATTTAGACCGGGATCTGGTTCCAAAACCTGCAGGTCTCTGATGTAGAGGCGCTTCTGCCTCTTCTACAGCGCAATCTGGAGCTGAACGAGTTTCTTGGAGGCTCAACTGGCCGTCGCCGAGGATGTGCGCCGATGTCGAACGAGTTCTGACGGATGGACCAGATCGATAGATGGACAGATGGACAGAGTGCCCATGGGCCCATCGTTCCTGCTTCGGCTTCGGCGGCGTTTTGGCGGTCGACGACGGTGGTTTAGCTGAGGCTTCACACGGCCGAGGTGCGCGCGCATGATTTGGGAGTGTGAGGGTCGCTCAAGCTGTGTGTCCAGATTTTGGGCGTTAAAAGTTTGGAAGTTTGGACACCCCCACTCCAACATCAGAGTGAACAAGAAGGGTTGCAGCGTGAGGGTTCATGGGTTTCTTTGGATCATCTTGGGCCCCACAGCGCCAGGCCATGGCACGCCGTCCCTTTTCCACCGCGCGAGGCCACCGGAGTGGTCCCGCAAGAGGTCGAGGGCATCGTGCCCACGTCGAAGAGGAAGTCCAAAGAAGCTCGTTGGCAGACTGAAAAGGAACGTGATGAATCAATGAAATGATCAAAATGACTGCGAATTGATGGAGAAGACACTGCTGAACAGTGTTTTTTTTGAGGATCTGCTATGATCTGATGATTATAGGGGAGCCATGGGGAGCCCAAGGAACACTTGGTGAAGTAAGGGCCTACATTGATGCCACTGGTTCTTGGGCTGACTTCCAATGTTTCGTTGACATTGTCTCTTGAGGAAAAAACTGGAAGTTCACGCCGGCGGAACAAGCCCACGAGGCCCATTGCAAGACGGCTCACAACAAACCTAGTTCAGCTAAAAAAACTTGAAGGGACACTTTTGAAGATGGCCCATTCTGGGCATTCTGATTGTGCAACCTTCACGTGCCAGGTCCACAATGAAAGGCAGCTGCCAGGCGTTGTGGTTAGTTGAGCAGGGAGTTCCACATGCATGTTGGCATGTTGGGGATCACTTCTTTTCGGGTAGGCGGTGGCCGTGGAGTGGGAGAAGGAGGCTTTGCATCCGACCTTGCCAGAGAAAGCCTTTGACCTCATTGTTGCCTGGCTTCAGCCATGCGGAGGTTCAGTCAGCAATGGAAGAACATACCGGTAGATGAGATTGGATGCCAAAGCCATTCATAGGGAAGACGTGCTGGTCCAGGCTGGTCCAGGATCGAACCCTTGTGACCGTTAAAACGCTCCACGCGTAACGCGTAAACGCGTAAACGCACGCTCCACCCGCCGGCTCAGGTGGTTTGTGATTGCTTGTACGAAAATCGTGACAGCCACTTGGCTGCCGCATCAGATCAGCCAGCTCAGCAGCTCAGCGGCTATGCCTTGAGACACACACAAAGACACTGCCGGGACCTCCGATCTGCACCGGGACAGTGCAGTTCCATGAAGAATGTGGTGCAGATCTTCGGTGGTTCAATGAATTGCCCCAAGGGAGGTCGGAAGATCAGTTCCATCACTTGCTTCATACCATGTGCCCTCCGCCCTCCGCCGTTGGTCGGGTGCCCCGAAAGTCGGGCGGCTTGCCCCGTCCGATTTTTTGGCTCCATAGATCCGACAGAGAGAGAGAGAGAGAGAAAGACAAGGGCTGTGGGGAGTTGATTTCCTCTTCCATCTTCCACCTCCCTCCATCTCTCGCTTCACCGTGATCATCTCTCGTGGTCAGGCTGGGCAGCGCTTCAGCTGCTCCTGGAGCGGCTCCCGGCGGAGGCCAGCGGCGAGCCGAGCGGCGAGCCGGCGGTGCTGTTGGCCTCGGCGGCGCTGCGGAAGCCCTTCCTGGAAGCCTTTGTAGCGCAGCTCGCCAAGGCCAAGGGAAGCCTTTGTAGCCCAAAAAGACTGGAAGTGAGGTGAATCTGTGAATCGAGACAACGAAACGTGTAAGATCTGGAAGTGGGTTGGCATATTTTTTGGGGGGATCACCCATTAATACCCATTATATACTTTCTTTTCGATGACAGTATTGTTGACAAGACAAGGACATGCATGGGGATGAACCGACTGGTGGGATGTCCATTTAGTCGTGGTATCTCCGAATGGATTACGAAGATGATAGTAGTAGAGCATTTCTCATGCTTCACCTATTCTTGCAGGCTGGCTTCACTTTGCTGCGACTTGGCTGCTCATTGACCACGACTGACCCTGCACACGAACCAAAGCAAACCTTCAGAGAAGATCAGACGATCCCTTTTCTTCAGGCAGAAGCAAGAAGGAGGCCACCTGGGAGAAGTTTGCACCGCCATCCTGCAACCTCCGAAGAAGATCCGAACCGATGCATCGTCCGAGCTGGCGGTCGAGGCGCATTGATGCATCGAGGCGCATCCGGGGTTCTTCTGCGCATGCAGAACTGGCTGAAAGCAGTTGTCCGGAGTATCAGGCCTGTATATACACGGTCCCAGCGTCCTCAGGTATTTTTGGGTTGAAATCAATTGAACACATCTAGCATGCACAAGAATTGCAACTCACCAATCTGCAAGGCATGGTGATGCTTCGCAGTGCAGCTCTTTCTGGCTGAAGTGGTGCTTTTGGATGACCACATTTTATGACGAGAAGCATCAAGTCTCGCTGCGCAGAACCCAAGCAGCGCAGTTGAGAAGCTGAAGAAGCTGAAACTTCTTGCACTCAGAAGCGGCTATGGCGCCGATTCATTTCCCCGCCTCAGCAGGGCCGAAGAAAGGACGACGGCCGAAACAGGGCCAATCCAGCGAGCAGCTTGACAGCGCAGCATTGGTGGTGCAGCATATTGGTGAGTGCATTGCGCCAAGTCTGTGAACATCAAGGTGAACGGAAGATTCATGAGCATTATGGAAAATGGAGCCTCTTCAAGGAGGAAGCAGCTCAAGTTCCATTTGTGAGTGGCAGATGTTGCAGGTATCAGCAGCTGACATCGGAGTCATGCTGAGACCGCATCGCAGCAAGGTATACATCTTTGCACACATTACATTTGAGGCTATCCGACCCTCTGCAAGAAATGGACGTTTGTGGTCTCTTTGAGATAGTGTTGTCAGCCACGGCATGTTCTGCAGTGTGATCTTGTATGTTGCCTATGCTGTGACGCCGGCACCACGCTCTAATAGCTGTAGGTGAAAGAGTGCTTGCAGCAACTCGAAGTTGAGCTTCTAATTCGCATGATTTCGTAGAGCTACGTGGGGCAACTCTGGGGCTCATTTCGTCAAGTTACCTGTGATGTTCCTTGGAGCCTGTGATGTTCGCATTCCTGGACAACGAAGCCGTCCGGTTCGCGAAGCCGTCGGACGGCCATGGTTCCGACAGACACGCGGCATGGAGACGGAAGGCCGGCCGAGGTGAGGTTAGCGGAGCTCTAATCGAGGGTGTGTCGGTCATTGGGATAGAGTAATGGCCAATGGGTAGGTCTAGTAGAATCTGGTCGACAGGTCCGGCGATCCTCAACGAACCAGACGCTTCTTTCCGTCCGTGTGACCGTGTGGTCGTTTTCTTTCTTCTTCCGTCTTAACCACGGGTTTGTCTCGTCTCACCACCGGTGCCGTTGGGGCTTCGCTTGTGATCGAGGTCTCCAAGTGGCTCTGAGGCGGGAGAACTCGAAGGATAGGTGATCGGTCTTTCGCACGCAGCTGCGATCGCGCCCCAGGAAGCTCCGATTGGGTTCGCCTCAAGACGAGGAGGCATGAGATGGAACGAGTATTAGAAGCGAGGGTAGGAGGCATGAGTGTTTTCTTTCTCATTGGTTTAAGCAGATGTTGGTGGTGTTTGAATGACCTTTGTGCCAGGACATTTGCTTCGTCTTTCGGCATTTTGCACATGAGGCCTTGCTGGTGTACTGTGGTGTATTATCGTGTGCTTTTTTCCATGTTTTTTGGTGCAAAGTAAAGCGAACATGCCACAGGAAGAGAGAGGCTTGCGGCTTTCGTTCAACTCCAAGAGACCGTCTGGAAACGCATGAAGCGCTTGGGGTTTCCCACCTCCGAACACCACGACTCCGACCGAAACTGCAACGTATATGGTTTTGTTTTAAGATGTTTTAAGCACATACCGAGTTTCGAAGGCTACACGGTCTGCCCGTATGGCGTATGGCCTGGGGGCCGCTGCAGTGAGTTTGACCACAGCTCGCGACACTGAAGGCCTTTGGAGCTGAAGGCTTTGCTGGAGGTGCCCGTCATTGTCGCGCCAAAACCAACATGTCTCAGCACCACTCCAAGGATGCTTCAAATTAAGCACCCCCTACGCCCTACTCCCTACCATTGCTTTACCATGGAAAACCATCTCCAAGCACTCATTGTGTGGTGCTGAGATATCTTCGTGTTTGGTTTAATATGCAGGCCATCGCTATTAGGCCATCGCTATTAGGTTGGAGGCCATTGCTTCTAGGTTGGAGGCCATCCCTCTTAGCGCCATGGCTGGTTCCTTTGACTAGGTTGGATGGCTGGTTGTTCACCCACTTGCACTTGGCTCCATAAAACAACCATCAGGCGCTGCATGCCTCAGTCGCTCCGTCAGGCGCTGCACGGCCCCAGTCCTGAAGGCTTCGCTGAACGGCTCTTCCAGGACGTCGCGGCGAGCGGAGCGGGTGAGAAGGGGGACCTCGACCACGGCGGGGGGGGTCGCAGGAAGAAGAACATATGGAGATCATAGACACAGACACCTGGCTGGACCTTCTGGAGGGGAGACACTTTCCACCTGGACCGGAGATCGGGGTGTCCTGTCGGTCCCGGATGGTAGTGGGCTGGGGCGAAACACGGCGGCGCGTGCACGGTGCACGGTGATGGCGTCCGTCACGCGGCGTCCGTCACGCATCGGAGGCGTGGGCACCGAATGGCTTCCTGACGGAGGGTCGCTTCAAAGCAGGATTCAAGGTACTCATGGAGTGGGAGTGGAGAGTCAGGATGGTGCCATCGTGGATGTGCCAAAGCATGAGATTGAAATGGGTCAAAACCTGGAGCCTGACCAGTCCACCATGTAGCTAGCGAACGATCAGTCTCGCCGGTAGGTCAACCAACCAAGGTATCCTGGTGCCATCACAGCCATGTTACTGATTGTCACTCTAATTGTCACTTGTGAAAGGTCTACGCTGTGCAGCATGAGTCCTGGGTGCAACAATGGTGGCTCGCCACCAGCGGAGGAACCTCCGACCAAGCACCCAGCCAGGCACTTGGTGCCATTAGATTAGAGGCCATCGCTATTAGGTTAGAGGCCATTGTAATTTTTTGGAGGCCATCGGTCTTAGGTTGGAGGCCATCCCTCTTTTGTTGAAGGCCTGCGCACTTAGGTCGGAGGCCATCGCTCTTAGGTTGGAGGCCATCGCCATGAGGTTCATTTGACTATTAGGTTTGATGGCTGGTTGGTTGATGGCTGCGGGGTCTTTCCAAATCAATGCACTGCGCTGGTCGAATTATGCTGGCTCTGAGGTGAGACTCTCGTGCAGGAGGTGCGCAAGGCCGGTTCACGTTGGAAGGTTTGACCATTGACCCTGATCAAATTTGACCATTGGATTCCGAAGAATCTGGGTTCTTGGCATCTGACAGTTTTGGCCAATGTTCCTACTGATTTGCATACCCAACGTATTCCAAAGGGATTGATGCTCATGATTCACGACTTGTTTCCATCCTCCGCGCATTGAAAGGATCATGAAACGGCCAGCTTCGAAGAGTTCCAGAGCTTTGCCAACACTTTGGCCGAGGATTGGTGGTGTTTTTGCATATTCTTTTGATGAGAAGCCTCGGGACCGGACCTGCTCTCGCTTCTTGGTGCAGAGGACTTTGTACCTCCGCCAACTTCATTCTTGCAGGCCGTTTGGAAGGCCAATGTTGGGAGGTAGAGCTGTGGAAGCGCTCTATGGGAGAATGGAGCCAGTCAAACAAAATATTGCTTTGGACTTGAAACTGAGCAGTAGCTATTGTAAAATTAATAGACATGCAGTATGATGATATATGTCCTGTGGCTGGACATATATTGCGGGCCCCCAATCACGATCCCCTTGGACAAGTATCCTATCAACAAAACAGCGCCGAGCCCAAACATATAGGGAAACGTAGAGTTGGAAGACCCCGTCAGCATTGGGTGTTTAAGTCTAACGAAGACATTCATGCATTGCATATAGTCATACTCAATATGATGGAGATCATTTTCAGAATGACTCTATTTTGAGGGCGGCGCACAATCGAGCAATCCAAAAGCGAAGCGCCCAAGCATCCTTCTCGATACTGAGACTCAGTATTGGATGCATTCAGGAAAAAAAAAGATATATACACATATATCTAAGTCCCATGTAGTTTATACTAAGAGATGTACATCAGCGCATCCTTGCTCTTCTCGTCGCCCAACCCTCTTGGTTCCACCAAGTCCAGGCCGCTTGGTTCCCCTGTTTCGCTGGGACCTTTCTCCACCTGAGAGGCGGCCATGGAGCGAGGCCAAAGCTCCACGCTTCAGCCGATCTCCGATGCGGCCAGGGTGGCCCAGGGCTTCAAAGGGTCGACACTTGGGTCGACGGCTTTAACAGAAGGATGTATTTGTTTTTCCTTTTTTTTTGAATTTACTTTTATTTTTTCAGAGCTTAGGGATTCGGCAGCAGTTTGTGACTCCAGTTTGTGACGTGCTTTGTGATGCTTTGTGGGATGACGGACGAGAATCACACGTATCCAAAAACACCTATATGCACTGATGAAAAGCTGTTGAGGTTTGTATGAGTGGGTGCAGTGCATCGTGAGAATGCACCAGCTGGCCTGGACTCCGCGAAGGAACCAGCCTGGCCCACTGGCCGAGGCTTATGATGCGCTGCTCCATGCCTACAGCTCCCAATGGCGCTTGTGGCTGGAAGATTGGATCTCTGAAAGACAGGTGCCAACGATGGTTGATCATCGTTGAAAGGCATAGCCAACCAATGGGCTTTCTCCATCAACAGTGCTTGTCAGACTTTGTTCATTTCTTCAGGTGGTCATGGAGTTGCCGACTGAGCAGGCAGCTCGTTGCGTGCGACATTTGGGACACTCCCAACGGGAGACCACGATAGGCATTCCGTAGCAACGTGCAGTGTGCTGCGCAGTGCGCAGTGGTGTGAATTCGAGGTCTTGAGCCGAGTCGAATAATTCAATATACGAAGGTCTCCAACCAATGGGCTTTTGGTTTATTTTCCTTCTTCCAGGACATCTCTTTGAGCCATACCAAGAGCCATACCAGTTTCTTCCAGGACGAGGAAGTGAAAGCTGCTATCACTGTGCAGCGGCATTATCGCCTCCTCCTCAGTCTTGAAAGCCAAAAAAGGGGACACACACACACAGACACACAGAGTGACACTATCAACAACTTCGCTGAAATTCACGTATGAATGAAACGCGCATATCTTGATAGCGAACCTATTCTTTGACTTGGCTGAATGTCCATGTCGACCTTGCACAAGAAACCTGACGTCGACCAGTCTGGCGACGACCAGTCCAGGTGCTCACAAAGCTCGGCAGAAGGTGAAAAGCAAGCGCGTAGAGGTGGAAAACGAAACTGAACAGAACGAACTCACACAAAGGATATTCTCACAGTGACCCTCCAAATGAACAGACTTAAAAAAACACCCAAAAAAGCGTATTGTTGGGGACCTCTACAATAGGAAGTTGTACTGCCGCATCAAGAAGAACATTCGGTTGGTCATGTTGCACTGCAACAACTCTCGGTGTTCCGATCGATTCCAGAAGCTTTGAGACTAATGCTTTCGATCAGGTACTAACTCACGACCTGGCTGAAACCATGGCCAACAAGGCAAGGATTTGGAAAATCTAGATTGCAGGCCATCGCTATTGGGTTGGAGGCCATTGCTAGTAACTTAGGAGGTTGGAGGCCATCGCTATTGCCTTGTATGGCCAATCAAATCAGTTGAAACTGCCGGGATGCCCACTTTTGGACAATAGGCCAAGTCGGGGTGCCGAACACCTTCACATCCACTGGATGTGACACTCATACCACCTCAACATGGAACGTTTTGCTACAACCACTTGTAGCTGACGGTCTGGGTGATCACCTGTTCCAGGGTCAAGTGAGGTAAGAACAATTATTTTATAACATTCAGTGTATATTTTGCTACAGATGTTGGCAGTCTTTCGATGTATTTAGAGTTTCCGATCAGGGCCGGTTCTTGGGAATGGGATTTTCGAGCTTACTTCAGCGGCTGCTAAGAGCTCCAGTGAGTCATCGTTTGCTTCGACTAGCGGCCCTTTGTTACTATATAATAGCTTCTTGTTCCTAGTAAGGCCGGGAGCTACGTTCGTAGCGATGCCCGATGTTCCGTTCGAGTCGCGATGCCCTTTGTTCCGTTCGTAGCTTCTTGTTCCGTTCGTAAGGCCAGGAGCCCCGATCGTAGCGTCCACTGTTCCTAGTAGCGTCCTTGCCCTTGCTGTGCTCCCAGGAACGGGCTGCGAAGCTTTTTCAACACTTCGCCGGTGGAAAGGCCCGCTGGGCACCGCGCCCAGCGCCCCGTGGTGTGGCGTGTCGCCCAGCGAAGCGTGTCGCCCGTGCCGCCGTGGACGCTGTTTCTGCAGCGACTCGCCAACAGCGTGGCGACCAGGATCACTGGACGGCAGAGGACATGTCCAGATTTTGTACCGCGCTCTGGCAACAAGAACATTTGCCGAAAGCTCAGGCGACCGTCCTAGCTCAGCCGAACCTTGGGATTCATGGACCCATGTGCTGCATCAAAACATAGAAAGATCAAGTATGATAAATATTAATATGTATATATATTTACCATGTATTAGTAAATACCAAAAGAAAGTCTGGCAGACCCATACTATTCTGTAGCACCCCACATAAGATGGTCTTCTATGTCTTCTTGACTTGGATTCATAGACCTTGACAGGCCACCTTCACAGAACCTTCAAAGCAGCGTGCGACGCCGGCTCTTCACACCGACGTCTCGAGGCCTGTGCCGCCACGGATCTTTGGTCTGGATGCCTTGAAGAAGGCCTCGCCACGTCGTCGCAGGAACCTGCCCCACCGACTCCATCGACGTTTTCGCCGACGTGCGGTCACGCGGAGCGTGGCGAGTCGAGTCGACCGACAGCGAGTTCGACCGCCATGGCCATCGGTGGCGTGTCGAAGGTGAACGTGTCGATGTTGCAGTGGTGTGGGTTTTTGGGCGCTCAAAGTCTAGTTTTTGAATTATGTCCTTCTGAAGAGGTCGGATTTGTCGGCAACTCACGGTGTGACACATGGTGCAGGTCCGTGCTCTGGGGGCGAGGTCTTCCAAGTCCAAGGCCAAAGCCACTCAGAGCGAGGACTCCCGCTCTCCCGCTTCTATTTTTGCGAATCGAGAGCGATTCTCAGACATTTTGGAGTAAAGACATTTGGATTTTTCAAAAATGAGAATATCCATCGAGAACTGGAAGACATTTGGACAACTGGAAGACATTGGGATGATAGTTCCAGTTACGCTCCGAAACAGTTTCTGGTCCAGAGGACCTGACAGACCTCGAGGCAGAGATTCTGATGAGGAAGGAGTTTCGGCGTGGAATGTCTGGAGCTCGGCGGTTGGTTTCACTGCCTTTTCTGATTGAAAAGGGTGAGAGCCAGTGAGAGGATGCCTGTTTGCCTGGGCAAACCCAGGATGCCATGGAACCAGAAACGCTTCAAGCAGCTTCAGAAGTGGGAGAGGGCACGCTACAACGAGGCTGGAAGAGAAAGGACGAGAACCAAAATGTTTCTTCACATCAACCAAAGCTATTTCACGCCATATTGGTGTCTCATTAATTGGCCAAGAGGGGAGAGACAGCTTCTTGGACTTTCCATCTCTCAGGTCTATGCTTGCCCATGTTGCCGCGAGCGTTTTCGTGTGGCCCCAACCACCGGAGGCCCAACCGGTGTCGCTGCTGCACGGCGTCGTGTCACCCGGGCCATAGACAGTGTCTTTCTCACAGCCCCTTGGAGGTTAAGGGAGGTCAACCACCCCGACTGGGGGTCCAGGTACGTGATCTGTGGCATGATCAGTTGTGATCAGTGGTGAAAAAGGGCTCAGAACCTCAGTTGCTTCGGGGTGGACCGCCGTGCGAGGCCTGGAGATCGCCAAGGTGGTGGACGAAGGAATGACCCCAGGAGTTCTGGGCTCAGAACAAGGGCGTATACTACTAGTAGCAAGAAGCTACGAACGTAACAAGGGCATTACTACTAGCAAGAAGCTACGAACCGGGCTCCTGGCATCGCTACGAACGGAGCAAGGACGCTACTAATGACCAGAATATCTGATTTAACTTTACACAGCGCGGTGCCTCGCTCGCGTGTCGCGTTCGTCTCGCGACAAAGTTTGGGCCGGGCTGAGCTGTAAGTAGTGAGTGGCGGGTTCACGTCAGGTGGCGGCGTTGACCGGTCCTCAAGCGGCACTACGAGTTGGGTCCATGTCTCAAACTGATGAGTGTCCCTCAATGAGGCGTTTTCGCGTGTTTTGTGGTTGAGAGATGTTTTTCGAGAAGAAGACGAGACGCACTCTTGTGGTCGCGTGGTGTTTTTGTACGGATAATTTAGGGAACTGAATTGGTTCTAAGGATTCGTGGGCGCATGTTTGTGGGAAGTGCTGCACGAAAACTACCGCATCCACATGAGGCGGGCTGCTGCTGATACCATTGTTACTGAAAAGATCTGAAAAGAATCATTATGAAATTAAATGGGGAAACCTTCATCGTCCTTCCTGAGTCCTGGGGAACAAACACATTTCTACCCGAAGCTTCCTTTGCTAACACAAATGCACACTCATGTCAAAAGTCGACTCATAAAACACATATGGCACCTTTTTATATCCAACCGTGCAACCCATTTTGGGACGTGCTGTCACACTGCAGACTATGCAGGATAACTGAAATATGTAAAACTGATTGTCAAGAACACAAGGTAACAAAAGTAACTCGGTTGGGGTGGTTCGCCCCTTTCAAATTGCTCTTGTTTGGCGGCAATTTGCACGCTTTTCACCTTGGGCCCAAAACAAGACTAATTTTTTTTGGGAACATCCTACTTTCCTTTCGATTAACTTGCCAGCCAGATGCAAGGTGGCGGCACTGCACAATCAGGTTGCACGGAACGTTGCGCAGGGTGCGGCCATTTGCGCCTGGAGCCAAGAAGGAATTGGATTCAACTTGGCTTCAAAGGACCACATGCTGTTCACTCAGCCTTTCCCCTTCCTTATATTAAGCTGCTTGAGCTAAATTGAAATTGGAGGGACAATTGTTGGGAACACTTGGCTGTGGGTCAAAACCTTCAGGCCCAGGTTGAGTCCACCAAACATGAATCATGAACTACCAGATCCACCACAGACATGGTCAAGCTTGTTCAGGGTTATCCCGGATCAAGTTTAAAGGATGCTTTGAGGGATACAGATGGTTTTCCACGTTTTTGGACCCCCCAGACCCCCACTGAGGCCTCACGGTCCGGCCCCACGTCCCTCGTCGGGGTCTGCCTCCGAGGCCTTGCCACCCGGCAGCGCTCGGCCCGCCTTGGCGGGGTCCGGTCCCTTAAGCCCCGAAGGTCGTGGCACGGTTTCGGTCGGTCGGACCTCGCGAGTGATCCGTGGCACGGTTTCGGTCGGAGCCCCGTGGTACGGGTCGATCATGGTCGATCCCAACGTGGGCCCCGAAGGGGGTTTGGAGATCCATTCGTGTGGGCGGCGGTGGTGGGACTCACTGCGGTTGGTCCGTTTTTGTTCACGACCGAGTGCAGGAGAGTCCAGGAGTTCGGATGGGAATGTGTGTCCAGACCGGGGGGCCCCTGGTGGTTTAGTTGGTGTTTTCTTTTCGTTTTTTGGGTTCCTGGGGTCTTTCAATTGCAAGCCAAGGCGGCTGTTGCTGGAAGCGGCTGTCTCCGGATCCAGCACTGGTGCACCAGCATCACCGGCTGAAGTTTGTCCATACAATCATACACTCTGAAGAAAAGACCGCTGGTTTCGAAGACCACTGTCCCGATTCCGCTTCTACGACCCTGAGTTCTGTCTTGATCCTTGTAGAAACTCATCGCAGCTCTGCCTCATCTCTCTTCGCATCCTCTTCGCCCTCCAGCTTCTGCTCCTGGCGGACGACGCCGAGCTGGAGGCCGTGAAGCTCGGCCCTCGGAGAACGGCATTCGGAGCGGTGCGGATCTGGTCGCGCGGCCAAGCTGGCGGAGGTTGTGGTTGGCGGCGACGGCGCCCAAGTATCAGGTCTTCAAGGCCTCGCCGCGGCCGGGGTGCCGAGGAGATGGTGGGGGGTCATGGGTGAGGGATGGTGAGGGTGTATGTGCAGGGGGATGAAAAAAGATATGAAAAGACGTGAAACGAGCCAAAAGATCATCAAAGATCTGCAGTTTGGATCAGTTTGGCTCGATTTGGCCTTCCACACCCTTTCAGGTTTCTTTGGGAGAAGGTGGCCTTCTTTGCTCTTGCCATCTCACCGGACTCCCGCTGACTTCCAAGGCAACGGAACCAAGCCTTTGCCAAGGCCTGAAAACTCCACACAGGGCCAAGGCAACACGGTCCTCGAGCCGGGTAGTAGCGATGCCCTTGCTCCTAGTAGCTTCTTGTTACTAGTAGTACGGCGAGGAGCCCCGTTCGTAGCGTCCTTGCTACCTTTTCCATCCTTTCCTTTAAAATCTGAAGTACCACATTGGAGCACCTCATAATTAGTCACTTAGTCGTTCCATAAGAAGACCCCCGAAACCCCTTACCCCTTACGGGTTTGGTGCGTGGGTCTCGACCACCGTTTGCTCTTTGGTGTGCTCGAGGTGTCGGGCCGGGAGCTTGCTGCCATCCTCATGGTGTCAAGCTCAGTCGAGAGGCTGGTTGAGACGCCAACCAAAGGTAGACACCCAGGTGCAAGGAGGTGCAAGGATATGAGAAGTTGATCGATCCAGATTAGATATTCAGAATAAGAGCATGCAAGGTGCGGCTTGGGGTATCTTCGAGATCCAGAAGCATCAAGAACAAGCACATTCAACAGACTCCCACTCCAGACTAGTCTGTAGTAGTCTTGGAGACGGTTCCCGGCTGTGCCCCACTCGAGACGACTTCGAGGCAACTCCTGTAACCTTTGAACAATTGCCCTTGGTCGGTCGCCCAGGTCGATTTCCGCCGCCGTTCGGTCGGTGGTCCGGGTCGGGCCGGGCAGTTGGCAGCGCGCTGCTTCTTCCGGCGCGACGCCCGAAGGGCTGGTGGATGCTCTGCCCCTCGCCCCTCGCGCTGAGGAGACGGGTCAGTTGGACTATGTTCTCATGACCTGCTCTGCTGGTCAGGCGACGCATGCGACGGATGTCCAAGCTAATGTCGGGGTTGGCTCTCAGCAAGATACAGTCAAGAGTCAAGAGATGTCAAGGTTAAGCATTCAGGTACCACTGGCTGGTTGATCTTGTGCCAAGCTGTTTTCGGCCCGACTGGCAGATACCAATGCTTCGCGAGTGTCAAGACGATGCACCTTTCACCATCACTAGCAGGAGGCAGGTCATGCGCACAGCCACGCCTGGCTCGTTTGGAGTGAATTGAGGAGCCACCCATCTAATAGCAATGGCCTCCAACCCAAAAGGAATGTCCTCCAACCTAATAGCGATGGCCTCCGGCCTAAGAGCGATGGCCTCCAGCCTACTAGCGTTGGCGTCTAAGCCAAGAGCGGTGGCCTCCAACCTAAGCGTGATGGTCTCCAACCTAGAAGCAATGACCTCCAACCTAAGAGCAATGGCCTTCAACCTAGAACCTGAGTGACCTTTGCGAGCCACCAACCACGCCATGTGTGGTCTTCTTCCTATCAAAAACAGGGGTCCAGTGGGCTCTAGGCCAACCATCTAACTAGACTCGATCTTCGGCCGCCACACCGATCTGCTGGGACGTGGATCGGGTGTCGCGATCTCGCGACGCGTCGTTGGATCGTGTGTCGCAACCGGAGAAAGGCCGCGGGTGGTTTGCTTGCTGGACGCCACCTCTGAAGTGCACCAAGCCTTACAAAGTCACCTGGAGGCGGTACAGGAGGCGATGGCCTTGTTTACGAAGAAGACAACGATGCGGCGGCTTCTTCTTTGGTCTCTGGTTTTGTTTCAGCACCTCTAGAGATCCGTCCGAACAGCTGCGGAGCCCTGCGTTGTCCCTTTTGCCTACTAGATTTTTAGCTAAAACAGAGTATCGACACTTGAAATCTGAACACAGTTTTTGAAGTGGAATCTTGATTAGAATATATATATATATATATAAAGTTATAATGTAATATATATAGTATAAATCCCCAATTGGATTGTAAAACTCATCATATGCGGGGTACAGTTGTCCTTTCAGGCACACCAGTCTAAACGTTTTTTTGTGCAACTGCTTGACTCCACACACAAACACGTGTTCGTTCTTGGATTTTGGTGCCAAACACTTTGTTCAGGCAAAAGGGCACATGTTCAAGGCTTTGAATCACTTGGAGGCACTGAGCGTAACCGTGAGAGCAATACTTCCGTGAGAGCGACGTGGGTGGGTTGGTCTTGACTATTCAGGGGACTTAGATGGACATGGCCTCCAACCTAGACCTACTAGCTATAGCCTCCATCCCAATAGTGATGGCCTCCATTCTAAGAGCGATGGCCTCCAGGGCCAGTTTTGACTATTCAGGAGACTTAGATGGACTTAGTAAATAGATGTTAAATAGTGAGACTCACTGCACTGAACAGTTTGATGTCGAGCAACATAATCTGACTGTGGTTGAGTGGTTGATGAAGCAAGAAGCTAGATCAAGCTCTGATGGAACAACCCGAGAAAAAACACAAATCTCTAAAGAGCTCTCTCTATCTTATTCTATCTTCATTTTGGTTGGCGGGCCCGCCAGATGGAAAACTGTGCTGGAATGTTTATACCAGAAATATCATCGTGCAATGCAGGCGGCGCAGTTTGATGGTCAAGAAGGACAAGCACAGGCTTGACAGTTTGATGTCTTAAGGACTATTATTCGTCCTCAATCCTGAGACCTGAGACTCAACCATGGTTGCACCAGAACGGCAGGTGCGCCTCGAAGACTTTCGTCCGGGGAGCCCACCGCCAAACCGCTTCGGAACCGCGGAGCCCCGCGGAGCCGTCGGGTTCTGAGGTCGGCACGTCTCCCGCTTCCCGGCAGTCGTCCGCCTGGAAGCGGAGGTGGGGGGGAAGAGATCGGTCGGGTGAGAAGCGGAGCAGGTGTGAGAATGCGGGGATGGGGCTGAACATGAAAGGACATCGGTCAATATGATCGATTTCGGATATTGTGCGCTTGTACGCTAGTATTTACAGAGGTGTTCCGGTGAGTCATAGTTGAGATCGCCTCTTTTCTATGTGCGAGGCCAGGCCTGAACGCATCTGAAAACGCTTGGCTTGACCTGTGAAGCAGGAGGTACCAGAGGCACCCGAGCTGCCCTTGGGTTTTACGGGGTGCGCGGCCCAGGGTCTCATCTCCTCACTATGTGTGGTGAGTTGCAGAGCAGAGCTCAACTTAGGCCCCTTCAGCCCTTGAGGAGACGTGCGGTCAGACAGGACGCGAGTTCACGTGCATGAAAGCCTCGTGCAGTTCTACAGATGGTGTACTTGCTCCAAGGGGGCACAAAAGGGCTCGAGGACATTTACAGACATTTTGCCGACAGGAGCAGGTGTCCAGCGATGAAACTGAAGAATCTGACAGCCCTACACTGCAGGCGCTGTTTTTCTTCCTGAGAAAACCGAGAGGAACTTCTGCAACGACTCTGAGGAATTCTTGGGAACCCGAACTTCTTCGTACAGTTTCATGGGCAATTTTTTTGCATCACTTGCAGACTTTCATACACTTTCCCATGGCTTGTCTCATTGTTTCTCCATGGCTTGTCTCATTTTCCTCATGTTGGCACCGAGGCCCCAAGCCCTCGCCTCAATTTCCAAGATTTCGCTAGTTTCCTTTTATTTCCTTCAGTGAGCTGTGTTCTTTGAGGCTCAAAACCGGCTAAGCCCGCAACACCTCCAGCGGAAGCAAAGAACTTGGAGAGCTTCGAGACATGATGAGACGGAAGATAAAACTACATTGCACTCAGATTCTGAAGACGAAAGGCACAGATGCCGCGTTTCAGATGGTGTTCATGTGCTGATATGATACCAATACCAAGGACCTTGTCTTGTCCTGTTGAGGATATCCTGCCTTGGTGTGAAGCTGAGGCGCCCAAGACTGATTTGCTGCGCTTCTTCTGAGTGTGGTGCTGGGACCATCGCCGCTCAGAGCACCTGATGGCCAAGATTCATTTTCAAGGAGCAGACCAACGATGGCTCTGGAGATCTATGACTGGTTTTGATTTTAACGATTTTTGGGGCGTCCAGGGGAGCAATACCACCCGGTCGGATTAGGTCTACCAAAAGAACTGTGGTCTACGGTAGCTGGGCATTGACTTCTCTATTCCGAATTTAGACATCCCATTCTAAAATGTTTATGAAAAGTTTTTTTCATGGACATCCCATTCTAAAACGTCTAACCATTCCTTGTTTTTCGGTGTTTTGTTTCTTCGCGAGCGGTCCCTGACACCAGGAGCAGCGTCTTCGCAGCCGGTCAAGCTCGAGCGGTCAAGCTCGCGACGCGAGGTGAGGGTTCGGGCCGAGAACAGCCCTTTTCGGGTCTGAAAGATCAAGCCCTTTTCGTCTGCCGACTGTTTCGGTGTCTGCCGACTGCGCTTTTCATCTTCGCAAGAAGCAATGTGACGTGCCATTTTGTTCTCCAACATGATGCAATGTGATGCAATGTGCGCATGAAGCAAAGAAGGATGGAACTTGATGGAACGTGTTACTCCGCTGGAGCAGGTATCGAGCACAATGGAGGGATAGCGCAGGGCAGCGGACGTCCTTGAGCTGAAGCAAAGCTTGCAAGATCCTGGAAGTATGTTTGGTACCGTGGACATACCTTCAGGTAGTTTAGGAGTAGGAGGATCCAGCATCAGCAGATCCTCCTCCAAGTTCAAGCAGAATCTCTTGGAAATGAGCAGATGCGAAGCTAGCTCTTTCCTTTGTGGCAATTTGAGCAACACATGTTGGGCGAAGAAGAAGAAGCTCGAATTGCACGCGGATAAAAAGACCGAGAATCACCTAGCATCTCTAAGAACACTCAGCCGTTCCTTGTTCCAAGGTTTCATGAACATTTCGACGACTTTCTGAGTATCTCCTGAACCTGCGAGATTTGCTTCAGCCTCAAACATTCATGTTCAGTCCCGGTCAAATGTTCAATCTATTCGATCGATCCACTTCGCTGGAGTCCTACATTCCCACGACCCATGCTAATCTCTAGAACAACGGATGTACGTTTTTTTGAAGAATCACACCTCCACGACATGCCATACCGTTACTTACTACGCACCCCGACCGTCCAAGATGAAGAGCCAATAGATGATCACACATCGTTTTTCCAAAAGTTAACACTTTGCATGTGGAGTCCGGTGGATGTCCTATCTTCAGAAGAGGACACAAGAATGGGTCTCCATGAGGGTCTCCATGCTTTCAATGATTGCTCCAGCATTAAGGAAAACCATCATATGCCTTGTCAATCCTTGTCATATAAGGTCTTGCATAGACCCATGGTTTGCTTCACATGTTCTGCTGCATTGCTGTGAAGTGTGGATCAGTGAGACCGCTCTTGTTTGGTTTTGGCCTTGAAAGAAGCATCAGAAACAGGAGGGTGTACAGACTGCACGAGCGTGTGGCCCTCATGCTGAACAAATCCTGCAGCACCTCAGACTCCAAGAATGGTAGGCTCAAAAGGTAGGACCCAGGAACCTGCAGGTTTTGGACTATACCAGGCCTATGTTTGAGCCATAGCCCTATTATGAAGTGGGGATTGTTTGGGCTCCGCAGTCTCCGCAGTCGTATGGCAGTTAAAATGACATCATAGCGGCTTTGAGTAGCTTTTTGCAGCCCGGCCTCTCTTGTCTTGAACCACCGAGGGCAAGCTGCCAGAGCATTGCAATCGAGGACAGCATCCGCAGAAAGCCGCAGCCGCGAGTTGTTTGTTTTTTTGTTTTTTGCAATGGCTTCACAGCTGCAGGATTTGTTCTCTCAAGTGAGCTATATATGCTATATTCAATCTGAAAACATATGAAAACGTGTGCAGGAAAACCCACCGCAGCCCCAGGCCGTCGGATGTGTGTCCGTCGGATGAAAAAGGCGGTCTTCGCTGACTCTCCGTGGGCGCCAGGTGAAGAAATCTCAGCGGCAACTGACTCTCTTTGCCACGTCTTTGCCCGGTGAAGGCATCGAGCCAAAAGAAGATCCATGGCTTCTTTTCCACCAGAGACATTGGTGTCTGCTTGCCTTTTCCCAATGTGGCCGCTCTATGCCACCATCTCGGATCACCTTGCCAGGTGCCAAAAAGTCGACGACGCCAAGTGGCACACGCAAGGTCCAGCGCAAGGATGCGACGTCAGGCGCGTGGCTTCCTGTCAGAGTGAAGGATTCTTCCCAGCGTTGGAGCAGGGAACAAGGCAAACAAGGAGAATGAGAAGCCAAAGAAAGGAACAAAGCGACCGATGCTCCCATCCTTCTTGTCAGGGACCTAACACCTGTGGATGGGCAGTGTTGATTTTGTGCTTTTGGCATCTTTTGGCTGCTGGTGATTCATTCTTGCTGGATCTTGCTGGTGATTCTGGCTGCATGTTTGCTATACCATTTTTGTTTGAGGATTTGGCTGTGCTTCTCTGCAGTGCTTCTGTATAACTATTTCTCTGTTGGACTCGGTCCTAGACAGTATCATTTGCAATTCCTCAGGTTTCAGGAGCATGCCCAGTCCGAGCCCTCAGTTCCGAGCCACGTGGAGGTCTTCATGACGGCCGGACGAGACGGAAGAGGCCGGACGGCGGCCGGGTCGAAAGGAACTGGGTTTTCTCTCTTTCGTCCTGGTTCTTTCAGTTCTTTCGCATCGTTCTTGTAATGAACAACGCGTGCTGGCAAGTGATAGAATCACGAAAGGTAGAATTTGGCAGACGTTGCCAATGAGCTGTAAACACCCATGGTGAAACCTACCGAGGTGGCTCGGTGACGCGAGCCGTGACTGTGGAGCAGCTTGAAGCACTGGTGCTGGGCATCAAGTTTAGAACAAAGGAACTCTGGAAACAAACACAGAATTGATGATGGAAAACCCTTGGATCAAGTGAAGTCACTTTTTCTTTGAACATTTCACCTGGAATGGGATGTTGTATGTGTGCCGCAAAAACGTGCATGTTCGTATGGTATCTGAGGTGCCAGTGTCCTTCATCCCGCAATTGCTTCCGCCAACCTTTGCAGATCATATCCTCCGCTCCTTCATGCAGGAGGCCAACAAATATCAAAAAAAACGGTGGTCTTCGCTGAAATTCGTGAAACGGAGAACAACCGTCCAAGCCCACTGTAAAACCCTATATTATATACACCCCCAAATAGATAGAAAAGTAGATCCCCACTCAAAATGTGGAAACCATTTCTACTCTGGCTCGGACATGTATTAGAAGCCGTTCTTATCTATTTGGGGACCACCAAAAACACAAGGTGACTTGACTTTACGGGATACACTTTTTCGTTGGACTCTAAGCGGCATCACCGGGGCCGCTTGTTCACGCGGTGAGGCCAAGAATTGGCATAGCTCCAAGCCACTGGGCAAATTTGCCACAAAACTCGCGAGCCACGTACTTGTGACGGGTCGAACGAACACGCGGGGAGCTCGGGGAGCTCGGAGCTCCTCTCGCCGTTTTCACGAGAACGCCGTTCCAAACGGCACCCGACTCTGATTTCTTCACCTTGAAGCACCCAGTAGTGCACCCAGTCTTCTTCTCAACGCAGGATGCGACGGTGAAACGATGTGAAACCGGACTTGCTCTGAAATGGAATTCACGGTACGTGAAACTCGTTTTTCCATGTTTCCACCTTTATATGGACATGCAACATCATGCACGCACCTTGCGCACATGATTTCTATGGACGTTCTTTTCATGTCTTTTCCACGGTGGATCCTCAGGCGTTGGCTCTACGAGCGCGAGATCGAGCCTTTGGTGAAGCAATCCCCCAAGAATCCAGTCCCCGGTCCCAGTGGTCCCTTGAAAGCATCTAGATAGCCTACACCAACCCAGAAAAATCTGTGGAAAGATAGATCCAACATGATCCAACAATCTAACATCAATGTATGTAGGGCAGATTTTCCTGCATTGACCCTTAAAACATGTTCAAACCACCTCAATGAGAGCAAATATGTCATACAATGGATATGATATGATTGTTTGGAAATGCTTTTGGCTGCTGCACACCAAAACGAAGAGCCGCAAGAGTCTTCTTCACGTTTTCCAAAGAGGACATAGTATGATTAGTATGGAGGGAATAAACGCTACAACATCAGCTGGTTGGTGTTCACGACAGAATCAAGGGGGTTTGCCTCGACAATTAAACCAAATTGCCACCGAGATGTATTCCGGTCCAGTCACCCTTCCAGCAACCGAGTGACCTTAGGAAAGCCATCGCATTGAGTCGGGCTTTCGCTGCTTGGCTTGTTAGCCATCTTCCCACGAAATCGGACGATGCCGTCTTCGAAACTCTTTAAGACGGGCTTAAAAAGTATGCAGTATACGGAGTGGGGAGAAGGCTGACAGGGTGATTTGGTTGCCAGACTGATTTGGTTTCCATCATTTCCGAGGTTTTGACCACATGGGCATCACTTCAACACGTTGGGAGACCAGCGGCTTTGGTGATGACTTGAGGCATTTGCGTGCTCAGGCACGAAGGGGACGGAGCCAGCTGGGGTAGAGTTGGATATGAAGGCAACAAGGCAACACGAACTCATGGCTGTGGACCCCAAGGAGTTTCGTTAAGCTTTCTAGCTGTGCCATCCTAAGTCACATCCGAAGCTTTCGACTGGGAATCGTTTCACCTGTAACAAGAAGCTTTTTCGTATGTATGTTTAAGCCATATTAAGCATCTAACTCCCAGGAGTCAATCCCGCCAGATAGTGACTGGACTACTGTCTTCTTAGAGGGAGGATCCAATGAGTCATCAGCGATATCGCCCTTTGCACTGGCAGACTGGCAGGTGACCACAGCAGTGCAGCAGGCCCGAGCGAAGCTGAGGCAGATGTGGCGCACGGGCGAGAGGCCTGGAACTTAGCTTGACCGTCTCCAAGGGGGACTTCGTTGGAGGTTTTCCTGTTGAGCGTTTGCTACCCTTGGCAGTACCCTGCAGATGGCTAGCAGGATTCTGCAGAGGGTTCCATGTCTTTTGGGCTGGCCGCGCAGGCCCTTGACCAAAGAAGACCTGGCGCAGGAGACGGTTGCCCTAGCCAGTCGTGGGCAGCGACTTGCCTCCGAGAGTATCGAATGGCTTGTGCCTTGGAGCGATGGCGTTGCTGGAACCGCTTGTTCTTATCAATCCCAAAAGATAAAGAACCGTTCAATGAAATTATAATGACATGTTTTCCACACTTCTCTCCAACTCTGTTTCACACCGCAAAAGTACCCAATACACACAGTACTCAATTGTCTTGCCACACTTCGGCCACTTTCAGCTACACAGTCCGGCTCGATCGGCTTGTATTCGCCGAGGTGCGTTATGCAAGCAGCTATGCAAAGTCATGGCGTTGGGAGCCAAACTTTTGCGTGGCCAACCTCTATCGAGATCAGGCAGCAGAAATGGGTGAATGACAACGCAAGACAACTGGTGGCACACTGCGGATTGACAAGGTCTAGACCGCTTCAGCATTTTAGGAAGATGTCCAATTAGATGCCGGTCATGGTTTTTCTTTATGTAATTTTATGTCATTTTATGTCTATAGTCTATAATCATTTCACACTCTGATTCACATGGTCAGAGCCACTGCCTTCAAGTCCAGTGAATTTGGCCATTTGACACGTTTATAGGAGGACTTCCTGGGAGCGCACAGTGATCCGGTGGAGACCATTGGACCTTGGGCCATCATTGCATCAGTGACCTTCGGAGCAGCAAGGCAGTTTCGTATGAAACCCGTGGGCACAGTCCAGACGAATGCTGAAGGCAGGAAGGTTCGGTTCTGTCACCAAAATGTTCAAAAACAAGGAGCCAGGGTGACTGAGATAGAGTGTTTGCTTGTTTTTCATAGATCTTTCCGGTGATTTTACCCGGATTTGGCTGACTTCGTGAAGTTCAGAGACCGCCCGTGACACATGTCGATGCCAGGTGGTGGGCGCATCACTTCCTTCAGCATTCGGCTGCCACACAATTCTGCACTCATTTGTTGGGAAGGTTTTCAGGAGTTCTGGCGCCACGAGGTGAGTGTTTGGACGCCGCGAGGTGTGTTGGATGCTCCGACTCTTTTCCTTTTTTTTCCAGATTTTGGTGCAACAGCTAGAAAGACTCGCTGGGACAACGTTCACGAACTTGTTCGTCGGACCAGCATGGATTTGGATTTCACCAGGTGCCCAAAGACAAGGGCTTGAAAGTACATAGCATCAGCGGGGCAGCTCGTTTGAACTTTACCTTTCGCAAATCGGTGTCTCAGATGCAGCTGGAGAATGGAAGACTCTGGCAGTTCATAGTAGACTGTGATAGGCTGAGTAGATTTTCCTTAAATAAGAAACATTGTATGTTCTTGTCATGTGCATATCCTATCCTTGCAAATGACATGTACTGTATTTGATGTGATTTCCTGGATTCTGGATGATGTGCAATCTTCGCAGAGGTCGGTGCTGTAGCTGCCCGCAAGCCCTTATGCCATTGTGGGCGCAAAGCGGATTTGAAGCCCGCCCCTCCGGCATGCTTGGTCCGGAAACGAACACGTGAAGAGGACGACCTCGAAGATGCCCTTGAAATCCAAACCGGTGATGCACCAAGGCGAGATGTATTTTTCATTTCATGGCCGTCAGCTCAAGCTCAAGCTTGTGGCTGAAAGCGCGCGTTGCCCAAAAGCTGAGTTATGCCATGTTATGCCAGGCCACCCCTCTTGGTAGAGTATATGTCGAAATGCAGAAGAAACATATAGTATATGCCAACATAGTTCAACTTCAACCCTCTTGGTGAAGTATGTTGAAGCCATTTTGGCACTGGTCTTTTGGTACACCGGTCCGGCTGAGCTGAGACACGGCTCTATGGGTGTAGCTCAGACACAGGGCGTAACTTGATTTTCTGGAAGCGGAAATAGATCAGTCTACCCAGCCGGAGGGGGACCCCTCCATAGTACGAAGTCCACCTTTTTCTTCAGGACAGATCGCAGAAGATTCGGAAAACCCTTGAAGACCTGCCAGGTGTTGAAGGCCTCACGCAACCGTGGGCGATATTTCTGGTCCTGTCGGAATCCACGCGTGAAGATCCTTGGTCGGCACCTGAAGAAGCAACTCATGCCGCGGACTTTGATGGTTTTTTCTTTGAGTGGATTTTGCTTGAACATCTGAAGCTTGTCACTGTTGGTTCCCACATGTTTAAACAAGTTGGAGTCCATGTTGGTTCCCAAAACGCCTCTCGATGCATTACTGGACGCCGGTCCTGTTTGAGGAAAGGCACCTATCGCACCTGCGACTTCTTCCAGTGGGACGATGAGCTGGTGGGTGGTCCGACTGGCAAAGTCCCCAAAGCTGCGGCTCCGAACCCGGCTCAGTCCCGCTTGGTTTCGGCAGGAGCTGCGGCACAATCCTGCTTGGTGTAGGTCACAGGATGCACAAGGCTAGCGGCTACTTCTGCACCTGCAGGTTCTTGGTCTGATTTTGTCAGGAGCCCCAAGTGAAGGTCCTCAAGTTCTTAATTCACAAGTCCGATCAGCTTGAGCTATCACTGGCTGACTGGGAGGGTGTTTGGAGAATCAGAAGCAGAGTTTTTTGTTCGGCATTGCTTTTAATTCTCTGATTAATTAGAGTTCTGAATTGATCTGAATTGCTTAATTGGATTTTGCTCGGAATTTGAGTCGTGCTTGGAGACTCAGATGAATGCAGCACGCATGAATTTCGAACAAAAAGGTCGAATATGACGGCACTTGGAGCTTATTGATGCAGATTCAATCATGTGTTTCGAGTTCATTTCAGGATATTTCAGGTTTCCTGAATGCAATCGCCTTTACTGGAATCAGGTGATGAAACACCATGATGAGGCTTCATGGGCCGCCATTTGCTGCTCAGCATTGCTCAATTAGTTGTAGTAGACATGGCCAAAGGATGGAAAAGTGTGGCCCCGCCATGCGCTCAGGACACTAGCTGCTAGCTGAGAGAAGTTTGGGGAAGGTGATGTATGAATGGGGACAGCTTTTGAGAAACGATGAGATGTGGCAATGAATCATTGTTGTCTTCAAAGGCATGGTGGAGCCGCTCTCCCAACGCTGGGCACTCAGAAAGATCACCACTGGCGAGTTTGCCAAGTAACCTTCATCGGACAACATAAATTGCCAATCAACCGTGTTCAAAATGCTTGAGTCGAGTGAATGGTGGGTTCTTGAAAATTTTGCAAGGCCAAGTATCTCTTTTAGATGAGCTTGCCAGCGCGGTAAGCAGTGGCTGCCTCAAGTTGTATTACAGTACAGGATGTCATTCAGTTTGCATAATATACATATATGCAGAAGCTAGGTTGCCTTCCCTTGTTCATGGAGAGCAACAAAACCGTTAATTACTACAGGGGCCGAGCATGCGTGTGACACCATTTTCTTTATTAACGGAGCTCACAAAAACAAGCGATGCAGTGCTCTGCCTGTGCCCAGGTGGCTCACTACAGGCCAGGTGGACGGATTTGGATGGATCGACACGTGGCAGATTCCGGTTCAACACATGCGGAACAGGCGCGACCATGCGGAAGTCAGGTGCCAGAGGAAGAGACCAATGCATTGGAGGCAAGGGGCTTAGAATGACTGTCGCCGATGCGGCACCTGCAGGGCACATTTGTGATCGTTTTTGCGACTTCGTCTCCAGAGATTCTTTCGACTTCATTACTGTCGATCATGGAGGCCTTTCATAGACACTGGCAGTCGGTGCGCAATAATCATGTGCAGCACGAGGCCTGTTGAAATGGAGTGCGTTGTGTTGAAATGGACGCATACCATTATGCAGAGGATTGTTGCTCCTTGGATTTGGATGTTCCTTATAAATTTCTTATTTCAACCTCGAAGAACGATAACAAAGAAGGCATGAAAACGCCTTTTTGACCGTTGCTACTTACGACCATATGCGTTCTTTTTTGAAGTCCAAGTCTTTCGCCAGGGCTCAAAACGGCGAGGGCGTTGGCAATGGACAGCTGGGCTGAATGGCTTTGATGAGCTGAATGGATGTTCAGATGGATTTGTCTTTTTTTGCACCATTTGTTTCAGCTTTTTGTACAGCTTGTTCGATCCTTGACCGCAGGATTTGTCAGATTCAAGAGATTTGCAACTCTGCATGTGAAGAGCCCTTTGGTCGAAAAAAAAGCAGATCATGTCAAAACCACCGATCGGAAGTCGGATCATTTTCTCCGTCCTCAGCCGAGATCCTTCATTCCACCGCTGAGGCTTGATGCCGTGCTGGGCCAGCTAACAGAGTTGGATCGGCAGAGGTGTGAGGCGCGGTTTCAGCGAAAGACAAAAGCGGAGCGGCTGTGGAGCCGGAGAGACGCCGCGGAGCCTTTGGAGAGACGAAAAAGACCCTTTCTGCTAGCGGCCACTGTCTTCAGTATGGGTGACATTTGCAGTATGTTGCAGCTATAGACTGAGACAATTCAAACACCTACATACACCTAATTACCGCCTACTTGCAAGAAACTGGTTGTTTCATCCTCCTTCACGCAGTTGCACGTGCATTCCACCAGACAAGACATTGTCAGATGCGTCAGATGCAGGTGCTTCGCAAAACCACAGCGTTGCACAAGGAATGTGAGCAGATGGTTCAGGCCACAAAGCAGATGTATGATTCAGCAATCTAAGTGACCACCTTGCGCCAGGACCAGGAACGTTTGGCAAGTGAAGCCGAGGTTCCTTTCTTTTTTCGTCCGACGGCCCCACGGCCCCACGGCCCCCCACGCGTCCGTCGAGTCAACTAGACTCCGTCCAGGCTCTTGCTGAACGGCTTGACTTCTTTGACCGTGTGGCCGATGTGGCGTGCGGGTGCCTGGAATTTCTGTTGGCTGTCCTGGACCTGGAATTTCCGGCCAGTGTGGAAAAAGGTGGTGGCCTTTCGTGTTGAGTTTCGATGAAGCTTTCAGAACACAAGTTCAGCAAGCTCATGAAGCAGCTCGCCTCAAGCTGCTCATGAAGCACTGATAACAGCTTCTAGACCACGTGGGTGTGAAATTGCTACTTGGTGCAAGGTGCATGTTAGATCATCAATCAGCCAACGGTTTGCTTGCCGCAGCAGCCTGAGCGAGAGAGAGAGAGGGAGAGAGAGGGAGAGAGTTCATGATCCCCGTTGCTTGCACGGAAAAGCGAATAGAAACATCATGTCAGATATTTATAGTGTATAGATCGTAGATGACTAATTTAACGGTCGTGAATCTCAGGAATTGGGCTAAAACCTGCAAAAGCGATAAGCCCCCTTCAAAAGCGATAACCTCAGAGCGATGGCCTCCAACCTAAGAGCGATGGCCTCCAACCTAGTAGCGGCGATGGCCTCCAACCTAAGAGCGATGGCCTCCAACCTAGTAGCGATGGCCTCCAACCTAAGAGTGATGGCCTCCAACCTAAGAGCGATGGCCTCCAACCTACTAGCGATCGCCTCCAACCTATAGATCGTAGATGAATGGTAAAGGTGAGTCCTTTTCACATACGAAGGAATTTCATTGCAGATTTGTCGTTTAGATCAGGCATTTCAGTTGACAAAGTGTTGCTTGTCAGTGAAGTGCGTTCTGCAGACTGGAACCTCGACTGGCAGCACGTCCAAAACCTAAAGTCAAGGAAGGCATACAAGAGGAATGAGCTGGCTGCACTTCTTCATATACATATATATATATTACTTTATAGTATATATATAGCATTTATATAATATAAGTCTTAATATGAGAACACATGCGAAACACATGGTGCCTTGACTTCAAAGAAGTGTCATTTCAGAACGTTTCCTGTTCACACACTACTGAGCACGAAGAGAGCAGGCATTTGCTTATTGGCTTGTCACGTTTTTGTCATTTCTGTTGCTCTTCTTTTTGGGTCATTCTTTCCTACACAGAATTGAACTCATCCCAGGTCCGGAAACCAATCGGAGTTTGCCTCGGCTCTCAAGCTCAGCTCTAGCTCCACCTGGTCCAAGCTTTTCCCCTTTCATTCCACCCGGTCCACCCGGTCCGGTCCATAAGTCGACGTTCTCGTCTCGACGTCGACGTCGACGGCATCGATTCAGGTGCTGGATCAAATCGATGGCTCGATCGAATTTCTGGAGGCGGACGGATGATTCGCCTCGCCCCGTTCGACCGAAGCAACTCTTTCCGACCGTGCCGGGTCCCCGTGCACGTGTGGCGCGGTGGTTGAGTTCACCACGCGTCTTTCTGCTCATGGTGTCCACGTGGGGACACCGTGAGCCGCTTCGGAAGCGAGGTGGGTGGTGCGTGCGACGAACGGTCTGGCGGTCTGATCGGGGCCGAAGGACGAAGGAATTCGGAATGTTTTGGATGTTCGTTTCATGTGTGCAAAGAAAGATGAAGCAGAGATTTGCAGTGGTTGCATATGGTTGCATCGATGGTGTTTTTTCCCAATGCTCGAGCCGGGCTCTATCCTAAGTGTTTTGGAGTCTGGGCCACATTTGTGTTGATCCTCTGCATCCTCCCAGGCGCATCCAGACTTCTGTTGGAGACTTGATCGAGAGTCAAGACCTGTGCCGAAAAGCCTTCAATGATGTCCAAATTCCTTTGAGGTCAAGCGCAACCCTATACGCATCAGTGCTGGAGCTGAGCTGTTTGGTACGTTTGGTGTGCAAACACATTGCATCCGTGGACCGTTTCCATTCTATTCACTTCTTTTTTTGCCCAGAACCGTTGCAGAAGAACAACCAATGCCGACGTTGGCCGGCCTTGTTGAACATATCCCCTTCAACTTAAATGGCGATGTTATGCTATGTTACTGTTACTGTAAATCAAGTATAATCGGTCATGACCCAACACATATATATAATATATCAGAGGCCAGAGAGAAGGCCAGAGCTCCCAAATGTCCTGATGCAGCCCTGGGGGCTCAACCCTCAGGTTCGAACACCTTCGGAACAGGGCCTGTTTGGCTCTCCGCAAGGGAAACCTGATCCGTCCAGTCGTCCGTCCGACATGACGTGACGTGACGTGACGTGACGTGTGTTCCGGAGGCGGACTTGTTGGGGAGAAGTCCGTTGAGAGTCCAATGAGATGTTTTTTTTTCCACTTTCTTTTTTTCCGAAACCGGTTGAGGTTCTAGTCACGACATATCATAAATTTCTATGGGAACAGAACGATGTGGAACAGGGTTTTGTGAATTTCAGTTTCAGGGGCTCGACCCGAAGAAGTCACAAAGGGCACCAGTTTCGCTGAGAGGCTCCAGTCGTCCTTTCAGTCGGAAGCTCGAGGCTCCACGGTGACGAGAAGCTTGGAAAAGAGCTTGGCACAAGTCATGTCCTGAGAGCAAGTCGTGAACACTTCCTTCCTCCTGCGGAGGCGCCGATACCTATAGTAGAGATGATTGGTTTGATCGACACTGATACTTGGAGTAGTCATATTCATTCCTATGTAGCTACACAACACTTATCTGGTTGTCATCCAAAAGACAGAGTAAAGCTTTGCTCAGGTAGAGCAACAGATGAAGGAAGGAGATTCTGTACAAACGCAGGCCCAGTGGCGCCAGTGGCCAGGTTCAAACGCGTGAAAAAGGGACCATGGCCCAAATGAGTTCACAAGCACTGAAGGCGACCAGCTGACCAAATATTAGCACATGTTTTACCTTTGTTTGTTTGCTTCTGATTGTTGTGTGCTGACGTCTTCCGGCAGGTCTTTTACAATCGCTTTAAAGCAGCAGCCACCAGCTACAGGCGCCATCCGAAGCGGAGACCTTCGGAGACTTCGCCGTCTTGCTGGGCGAAGACTCGCCGAAGACTCGCACGAAACACTCGTCTTTCAACACTCGTCTTCACTGCCAAATCGAAGGAAAGGACCTGTTCGGGGCAAGATTGGGTTCAGAGCCTTGTGCCATCTGGTGCCCTTGTGCGTCGAAACGACGCTTTCTCAGGCCGCTGCTTTCTTTGCTTCACCAACGAGTAGATATCCACGAAACCTACACAGTGCGCCTCCTTGTGGCCCCACCGAAGGGTTTGACCGATGCTTGAGAGTTTGAGAGTTATTTTTTTGTGTGTTTTTGGAGGTGACCTTGACCATGTCTTGACCTTTCCTTTCTTGAGGTCACACTGGAGGAGTTGGAAGGTTTCTTTGTACATCTTCGGCTGAAACTCTTATCTTTGCCAGTCTCATTCTCAGCTGGGAGAACTACATGTCGCATGTCGGTATGCTTCCGATGTTTCAAGCTGTTTCTATTTCTACCAGGAGTCACATGGAGTTGGGTGATGTTTAGTCCCATCCAGTGAGTGGAGTAGCTGGGCACCCCGACTTCCTCCATGTTCGAACCCGTCTTGTGACTGCTGGTAGTTCTTTCTTCAGATCTTCACCGTTGGATCATGTAGTGTTTTCGCATGCCAGGTGTCGACGCATTTGCAGCCCGTGTTCCCAGGACTTCGGAACCAAAACCACCCTGGCTTCACCAACTCACGTGCCACGTTCGGTCGCGACGCCTTCGGGCCGGTGTTCACGAAGACCCGACCGTGAGGTCCATCGTCCACAAAGACTTGGAGATGAGTCAGTGGCTCGCCTCAGCTGGTGGTGGCGGCTCATGGGGGGCTTCCGCTTCAAACTCACTCAGGCTCACTCATTCGGTAGGTGGACCGTGATGGACTAGTCCGTTCACCGGGCTGGCCTATTCGTTCGTTCCTGTTCTGTGGTCTGTTCAAGGTTTTCCAACCCGTGATGAAGGGTCTTAATGTGAACCCAATGGCGATCTGACCAAAGGCATCAAAAGCTGCAATGAAAAAGAGGTGGCAAGAAACCATATCCTTGGCTGACTCAGGCTTGCGCCGGCAACCCGCCAGGAGAGCGGGTTCACGAAGAAGACATGACAGTGAACAAAATTTCAACGACAATCTGATCGCTGAAAGACACGTGATTCAAATTGAAACCCTTCACATCCATTCACATCCTGTGAACTTCTAGGCCAGCGCCTACATTTTGGAGATCTCGCAGTTGGAGCGCCAGTGCTTTGAGGCACAGACCTGCACCGCATGACCTGCGTCCTGAACCGCTTCTCGTGGCAACCGCATCAACGAGGCATACTTCGAGCTGAGGCAGCCGCAAGAGGCGAGAACGGCAAGTGGTTGAAGTCTGTGGATGGAAAAAAAAAAGAGGATGAATTCCACGAATTGAGGAATTGGGCGATCCTTTGAAGATGTTGGATCGCACCTCGGATCCAAGGCTTTGAGATCTTTGATGGAGACCATTGCGGACATTTTCTACCAGACTCTTGGGCACTTTGCGATTCTGAAAACACCAATTTTGTGGTCAGAAAGCATCGGTCGAAATGCCAGAGCCAAAAACTGATTGGCATGTCATGACACGTCGTTTTCTGTTCACCATCCTACATGCTGTTTTTAGTTTCATTAGTTGCATCCGAATTACTTGATATTATGTTCTCCATTCAACTACTGGTATATTCAACTCAAACAAGCCGTCCTGGGTGTCCCAGGACCATGAGGCCCTTAGTCCACAGCTCAGGATCTCCGCTGCCTCGGCTTGCGCATCGGATCGCATGGGATCCGTTGCTCCAAAAAACATCCATTCTTGGTACCAGCTGCTTCCATTCGGGGTTACCTGGCTGGACAACCCTGCTTATAGGTCACCATTGGACACGTGACAGACAGCGCCCAAGCGTCCGCGCTCTCGCAAGCTTTCTGATCGTGGGAGCAACCGGTCGGTCGTGCGACCTAGGTGCTTGCTTGCAACTCCATCGACTCCTTGAGAGAGATTGCTGACTGCTTGTGGCCTCGGCGCGGATTGAACACATCGGTTCACATCGGATGGGTGGGACGTGAGCGTCGCTCGTGACGGTCGCAACGTGCTAAGCTTGCGCAGCGACGAGCGACGTGTATAGGTGTGTTTCACCCAGATGACGGGTGTGAAGAAGCAAGATGTCTTTTCGCCAGGCAGATGGATGTCCTGGAGCCACAGCGGTGCAAGTCTCAGAAGCATTTGGAGGTCACATTTTCGCGAGGCACTGGAATGGCCTACCGTGGATCCCCGAAACAACCCCGGCTCCAAATGTAGGTCAATGTGATGCAATATGACTTTGGAATACTTTGGGTGACCGCTGAAACATGAACAGATTCCTCTATTGTTCTCTAAACTTGGGGCTCCACCTGTGCTCCGTGGTGCCGGTCCACTAACTCAGTCCCTGTATGTCGCTCGGCTCCACCCTCGAGGCGCTCGAGCGATGGACTGGTGTCGTTCCTGGGAGTGGTCTATCGGCTCCACAAGGCGAAAGCGATGGTCGACCGACCGATGGCGTCACGGATGGGTTTTGGGGGACGCCGAGCAAAGAGAGGGCGGAGTCACGGACGGGAAGACGAACTTCAAGGCTGCAAGGCGGACCGGGGTTCTGTTCTGGAGCGGCGGACCGAGCGGCAGGATGTTCAAGAGAAGCTGATCTACAGAGCCTGATACCCGGAACGAACGACGAAAGAATGTGCTTTAGTTTGTACAGGTGCTGCGTGTGGCCTTTTTGTGTCTTCTGTGCAAATGATTGGTGAGGTGGAGATGTATATCCGAGATGACATCAAGGGGTGCTCCTGCAAAGTTTGAACTCATACCAGGACCATCCAGTGTAGGGTGTCCTGGCTGGACTACCTTACACATCCCCACACATCCCTTAGGGATCTCCAGCCAGGACACCCTTGGATGCTCCAGGTACTTTGGTTTACACTCCCTGGACGACCATTTTCCTCCGTCTATGGGTCGTGAGTTCCAGGGAGAGTATAAGTGCCAGGATCTTTTCCTTGGTGATGTGAGGTATGTCCCGAGCAGTTCTGATATGGACTACCCGTTGGGATGCTGAGATAGACTTAGGGAAGTCAGACCCACAATGTTCACACGATCTTTGTTCGCGAACATGGGCAGATGTCATCAGACATACCGACATGCTGTCCTTTTTCGAGTTAAGGTCTATGCTATACAGCTGTGACTCAGAGGCCAATCAGGCCGCTTCCCGCTTCTCCGGGTGGAGAGCCAGCTCGCAGCGAGAACAGATTCTCTTGAGTGGACAGCTGAGCAGCTCAAGCTTCCGGCTGAACCGCTTCAGGATCCGGATCCGATGCTGGGCGAATTCCGCAAAGGCGGCGATGAAGGGGTTAGACCGGGTTAGATATTAGATCACGATGTTTTGCATGTTTGCGGATGTCCAAAACGCTCTCAAAGTCTCAACCATATATGTTTGAAAGACTCTGAAAGATTGTGAGAGTACATTCATCATGACCCTTTGATTCAACTTCATCAATCAAACCACGTCTCACCAACACGCTACGAACCAACGAACCAAACCCCGTCTCACATGACTGTCGGTTCCAGCGCAGCCACTTCTTCGCACATCTTCGCGCGAGGCTGGTTTCCATCACTGCCCCGCACGCTCTCCATCCTGGTGCGCCGCCGCACCGGAAAACCGCGTCGTCACAGCGAAAGACGCGGTCCACGCGTTCCGCGCTCGCGAAGGCGAAGATTTATCGAGTTCTGGAGATGTCCACCTTCCAAGGGCGCGGAGCCAAGAGCCCTTTTTTCCCCATGCGACCGGTGTTTGAGCTAGAATTGGGTTGCCGGATTGGTGGATGTAATAGGAAGATTCCTTCACCTGGTGCGTCTTGTAGCCATCAATCAAGGCTTGACACACATGTTTTCTTTATTTATAAAGGCTTGACACACATGCTACGTGCATGGCTGCCATGCGTCATGTCACTAGCTTTTTTTCTGTCTGAAGCTTGCTCCAACTATGAGGATTGCACAGGAAGCAGTGGATCTTTGCATGCATACCTTGAAGGAGGCTCGATACCATTCGTCCGATTCGGATTCCCGTTCTCATGCTGCGCACGCATACCGCATGCACGCACTTCTGCCGCGCACGAGGCATCCCAAGTCCTAGCACGAAGGTCGTTGCCCAGTTCCTCGGAACTGCAGGTGGAAGTGACGAAGTTGCAGATCACTTTTTGCTTTGGACACACTGACACACTGACGAGCAAGCGTGCTACCTGACAGGCAGTGCTACCTTTGGTGCAAATGATGGACTCGCAGCTCTTTCTTGTGAAGCATCTCCTGCAAGATGCTGAGAAGTGACACACAATCTGAAGCTTCATAAGCTCAGTCTTGCAAAGAGCCAGCCATAGCATAGAGGGTTCCATCAAGTCCCATGCAGCTCATCTTTCGGCCACTTCCCACCTTTAGCCTCTTTCTTCCCTCGCACGGTCGCCACGGTCGCTCTGCTTGGCGGTCGCAGGCTTCTCCGAGAGCAAGTGGCGGCCTTCGAGTGCGAACTGGTCGGGCAACGGAGCCGTTGACCGTTCCAGACCGTTACACTCCCGAAAACTCACATGGAAGTGGATGGCACCACCTGTTTGTAGTGGAAAATGGATGAACAAGGGGCCATTCTCCACTTCCATGATAGTTCCAGGGAGTGTAGATTCTTGGTCTGGCTCAAGCGAACGACACCCATTCTGGCCCCCAAATCCCAAAAAGAAGAGAGCTGCGCAACTTCCTGAGGTGGTCAGTGAGAAGTACTTCAACTTCGGAAATCTCTGGGAGGCACTGTGAGATGAGCATGCCCCTTTTGAGAAGCTTCTTTTTTGCACCATTTTCATGGACGGTCAACACTGGGGGGTTTTGTGATGTGCTTTTCGCAGGGTCTCCTAGTATCTCATGCATGTATTGTCTCATTTTCTGTACTATAGATGTCCGTAGTGTCTATCATAGGCCTATGCCTCGCGACACCGAGTGACACAGAGTAATTGGACTGCGAGGCTTTGAATCTAAAGCTGCCAGATGGGATCCTGGGTATCCTCAAGCCCACCATCTATCAAGCTGAGGCGAGAACCTCGAGATCTCGACGATCGGTCGACTCACATGTGGGATACGACTCAGGACAAAACCGATCCCAACGGCAGGGGCCAACGGCTTTGTTACGGTGCTCCGTCGATGTTCTGAAGTTCTGAACCTTAAGATTCTTTTGCTTATTGGTAGTTAATCTCGGTTTCACCAACCAGTTTGGACACTAGTTGTTGGGTTTCCAGTCGTTGCCGCTTCAGGTAGACAGCAAGAAAGACATTGAGTCAGAGCTGAAGGTGCGGTTTCTTTGTTCGTTTGCCCGTCGTGCCCGTCGGGTGGACAGCGGTCATATGCGGTCATCCGTCGTGGTCGGGGGGGCGTGACAGTGGTAGGATCGACAGTGGTGGAAAGAATTTCATGTGTTTTTTTGGTCTGTTTTTTGCGCAGTCTGCCTGTGAAGCTTTGATCACCAATATCACAGCCACGGCCTCAAATGCTGAGAGCAGATCAAAGTTGTCCAAAGTCTGGAGGAGAGTCTTCTTCGCGGGATAAGAGATCCCTTTTTCTCCACCTTTTGCACAAAACTGTGAAGACATGTCCTTTGCGACTGGAGGACGACTGGAACCAAGGCTCACATCACTCAGCCATTGGCCGTGTCGACCTTAGCCGAGAGTACCGGAAGCGAAACGCCTTACGGTGTCCGTTTCGCTCAAAACCCAGTGGTTTCAGAAGAGATGACACTACCCAATGATGTCCTTTTACATGGGAGTCCAGATAAATTACTGGGGATTGTGCCATCTACTCACTGAAGATCTCTGAAGTAAATGTATGTAAGTATTGAGTTCATTGTCTCAAAATTTGCCTCCATGTTGCTGTGAATGGCAAGGGCATGGCCATTCTCGGAAGAATGGGGAAGACATGGCTATGCTGATTGGAGGGACATTGGTCAAAGTCGCTTCGTCGTTCGACCAAGTTCCACCAGGCGATGAACATGAAGATTGGCAACTTCTTGGCCAATCCTCAGGCATGTCTCGAATGGTTGCATGTGAAGTGTTCAAGCCATGACGCCTGTTCAACGAAACGTCGCACCTGAAACAGGTGGATCGAGCTTCCTTGAAGGACCAGCGAATCATGATGGTCAGTCTATTTGGGATGTGCATATGTGCATGCATGTGTCAAGGAAGCACTTTCAGGACTATTCTCACAATTCATGATGGATTCAGCGTCTTTGAAATTGTCGCTTTTCGCAGGATCAAAGCTTCATGCAGGAAGAGTTGCGGAATGTGATTGGCACCTTGACAAGAATTGCTTCATTGAACTGAGGCTTAGCTTGATTTGGATCGGCAGTGAGTTCGTTTGCTGATGGCGTTGTTCGAAGCGAGCTTCCGGGACTCCATCCGAAGATTTTCATGGCTTCACTTTAGACAAATCCAAGCAGAAGCGGACAAGAATTGGATCCTCTGCGAGCCCTTTTCAACGTAAGGCACTTTCCTGGACACTGTGAAAGTGAAAGTGCCTTTTGCAACCGCGTGCCTTGGTTGAAGAATGGTCGAACACTGGCAAAGGGATCTCATTTCGGCTGTTGATTGGATGGAAGACACATTGTCAGCTGGTCTTTCTTGAACCACTCGAAGTGGATCGAACTGGGGCTGCGAACTGGATCCTTTGTGGCGTCATGGATGCATCCCCATTGCATCGGCCTTTGACACGTGCAGGCACATCCGCCTCTACTTGTCTACGCCGGGAGGCAAGTCGCTGGTGTTTCTCAATGTGAGAGACTTCGCATCAAAACTTAAAACTTTATGTTGGTCTACATGAAAAGAGGATGTCTTCACGGCCATGGGACAGTGCAAAAACCCGCCACGGGTCAAGAAAACCTGCCGAACATGAAGGATGAACATTGTCCAAGTGTATTTGTTTAAGACATTGTATGACATTGCCCATGTTGAGCTTCTTGATCTGAAAGCGGAATTCCAGATGTTCTCATTGACATCGATGTTTTTGCCCTCGACCTCCCTGGATACCCCGTTGATCACGATGCCCTCGCACTATACCGCCTCGATCATGCCTGGCCACCACTTGTCCACTTGAACATATGGTTTTGCAACCAACAAAGATGGAATCTGTAGCAGCTAGGTGAATGCTTTTAGCTCCTTGCAAGGTTCTTAGTTCTGTCAGCTGAGCTTTGCTGTTGCCTTCTTTGAGTCTGTGTGTCTCCTTTGCGTGCTCGTGCTCATACATACCCTTGTTTGGCTGAAGCCTACCTTCACTAACTCCATGAAAGCGATGAAGGGAGGCAAGCTGAAGTCTAAAGTTGTCCAAAACTGAAAGAAGCAAATGGCCCCCGAAAATCTACGTGATGTATCAGATCGAACAAGAGGTCTTTTCCGCAGCCGCACATGTGGCTGTGGATATTGGCAATGTCACCATGTCATCAAAACTTCTTGACCCATCATCATCCATCATGGATCTTTGCGAATAGCCAGGTTGGACCTGCCATGTAAGATCCCACGTGTTGTTCCTGCACTGTTTTTTTTTCTTGTGTTCTTTTCATTCTTTTAAATCTATATACTGTACTTCGTTTGAACACAAGGTGCTTGTGGTCTTAGACCTCTGAAAACCAACCAAAAGAACGACCAGTCCGACCTCCGTCCTCGGTCCGACGCGGAACCGGGTTCCCCGGCTCCCTCCGGTCGGTCGTTCTGTTCCGACCTCAGGCACCGATGCTTCAAGGCGGGGAAGGGCTTCACGTTTGATTTACTTGGCTATTTTTTTCAGGTTTTGTAGTCATTTTTGGCTTGGCCGGTCGTTTTTTGGATCACAAGAAACCAATATAAAAATATATAAACAATAAATGATAATACATGACATGCAACATTTAAAGGATATCTCCTTCCAAGTCTCCTTCCACTTTCCTGTGTCGTCCATTTTTTGATCTGACACTGGATCTTGCAATATCTTGCATAACTGGAAGGAAGTGCTTGGTGGGTACAATCTAGGTAAGTTATTAATATAAAGTTGGTCTGGGCAGAAGGGTGCTGTTTATAAGTTCTTACAGAAATTCGCCAAATTCGCCCTTGTTGGTCTTTTCTTTGGTGTTTGACACATGTTTTTCCTGCCCCATGTCCTGCGTCCTTTTGTACATGGCCCGCACGGAAGCACCACAGGAGTACCTCGTGGCAACCTCGAGTTCGTCTGAGCTTTGGGGTAACCGTGACACTGCAGCGATTGCCGTTACCGCCGAGGCCGATCCTCTTCAAGCCGGTGGAGATGCGTCTGGTGGATACCTGGGGACGTTTGGAAGGTCTGCTGGAGGAGCAGAAGTTTACCAGCGATGAGCTAGCAGAGCCACTTGGATAGATGGCCGTGGAGTCGACTGAGATGCAAACGGTTTTGAGCATCAGTATCTGAGTCATCCACCGAAAAGAGCCCATTTGAACTCTATAGATTGATTCTACACCATTCACCATCATATTTCGGGTGGTTCACTTAGGTTCTAGGTACAGATCCATCATTCTCTCTGATTTGGGAAGAAGGGGCTTCTCAGACGATCTCAGGATGGGATTCATCCGCCCAGAGGCCCTGCGAGAGTCAGTGGCTCAATGACTGCGTTGAACAACCATGACCTCTAAAGGACCTCAAAACGCTCGATGTCTCACGTAAATGGACACAACATGCAAGAACGATCTGACACCTGCAAACTATATGAATGCAGGAATATTCAGGCAACATTTGTCAGTTGGTGAATAGATGTAAATAGTGAATTCTTCTTCTTTGACATCACTCTTTTAAAAGGCTGGTCTCCTCGCTCTTCAACTCCGTGGTGTGCTTAATCTACTCGCCGTCGTGTTCGATCCAGCGAGCCACACCTCATGGCGAAAAACAAACCACGCCGTCGTCCGTCCGTCCGACTCGCGTGTTCTTGTCTTGGGTCGGGTCAGGTCATGGAAGCACCTTGGGAGAGCATCGTGCAAACCGTCGCTCAGGCGCCACCCGAAACCGCGCGACCGTTGGACGTCCCTCGCTCGGCTCCCGCCGTGCGAACGAACGGCCGGCCGAGTTGGGCCACGGTTCGACCCGAGGTGCCGCGGCATCGCTCCAGCTCCAAGGAGGCGCCAGGGCAACCGGTGCCGACCAGCGAGCTACCGGAGCGGAAGGAGCTACCGGAGGCTGCCGAGGCACGAGATGAAGTGTGAAGAGGAGGGCATATAGTAGGGCTCCCAAGGCTTTTCTAGTGCGACTGAGTGGTCTTTGAGGTGGAGCCACAGGCAGTGGAAGTGGAGGTGTGGACGTGATTTGAACACAGAAGTCACAGGAGGTTTATTCAGAGACTATTTGCAGTAGATATTTGTATAGATCGTTTTCCGTTTATAACAGCAGAGGGTCCCGGAACAGAACACGCAGAATGTGCAGAATGTGCATCTACACATTCAAGGAGTTCCGTTTCGGATCAGGATTGCGCACTTGATTTTTGAACGGTGAGGAGTCACCAGTCGCCGCACCACCCGTGCCGGTGCCAGCAGCGGCAGTCTCCGAAGTCTCAGGCCTTTGAAGATCTCAAAAGACATGATCAAATTAACGATGGTATCAACATATCAGCTTTAAATGTTGATATGGCCTTTGATATCAATTAAAGTCAATTAAACCGAACACAAAATCAGATGATTCTAGAAGGTATAATTATGATGATACGGCCATGATCGTGTGATCCCCCTTGTCTTGGGATAGAGACCCAACTTAAATGCTTGAAATATGAGTTTGATCCCCAGACTTTCTCAAGACCTTTGATTGATTTCTTATGATCTCTTGCTTTCAACGAAGAGCATGATGTTATCCGATATGTGTTCTTTTTCAGTTGCATCGGTCTCGATCTTGGTAACATAGCTACAACTGCGGCAGAATCAGGCGAGGATCCTCCTGTGGCCCAGCTTGGCACTCGGAAGAAACCACCGACCGATGTCAGTCGGAAAGAGATGGACATGCCACCACAAGAAACATGGCCGATACAGACTTGTGAAGAATTTAAGATTGTCGTGCTACTTGCATTTGCACGCAGTGGTATGGTATAAATGATCATATACCTACAGTCGGGGACGTCCCATTGCTGCCACCCCACATGTTTTTGGACCAAGGCCAATGCAGCCGGACAGGTGAAAACACTGCGTGGACGCTGCGTCGGTTTGTGCAACGTCGTCGAGTTCGCACTTCTTGGAGTCGAGTTCGCAGCCTTTTCTGAATGCAACATAACCCAACCCAGCCAGCAGACTGGTCCCATCCGCACTCTGACGGTCGAACCATGCGCGGGAAACGCCGACAAAACAAACAAGCAAAGCAAGTTCCGACAGGTCTGAACTCTTCATGGATTCCATACAAGACGTCCGGGGGATTCTTTGCAGATAGACCTCAGAACATGGGATCTTAATCTTGTTCAGCGCAAGAACACCTCATTGGCTCACAATACACCTATTATGACTCATTGACTCATGCGTTCCAAGTTGATCACGACATCCTGCGATGAACATCACATCGGAGCCCAAAGATGTTTGGCAGGACCGGGTCTCCGACGAAAAACACCAAGAAACAACACAAAACAGGCTGAAAGGTCAGACCTCTTAAGTCGCTGGACATTCAGTCTGGCGCTGGACCTCTTAAGAGGTTTTTCTGGGCCGAGGGGAGTTCCAGGTCAGTGGGACGGAAGATGCATCACATTCTGGAGGTCCACACTCGGTGGTTCGCCTCGTTTGGCGAAGCCAAACGCCTCAACAAGCCGGTCAACAAGCCAACCAGTGTCACTTTGACAGGCGGCTGCTTCTGGTGATACTTCATTGTTTCCCTGGTGCAGCTGTGGATCCAGGAGAGACCACGGAAGACGTCCAGCACCACTTCTCACTGATTTATCTCACCTTGCTATAGGTGGTTTTCCGGACACTTCCTTGAAGAGTAATTACACCTTTGTGGGATTCTACATTTCACCCTGCAATCCTCTTTAAATTCGCAGGAGCCAAAGTCTGGGTAGATCTGGAAGACCTTGCACGCGGCGCAGGCAACACACAGGCGACACGGATGTTTTTTCGGAACTGCAAAGAAGACATCGCTGCCTGCGATCGCTGCGGGCGGTGTTTCGATGATGGCCCGAAAAAAAGCTTGCATTGAATTGATGCCAGGTCTTGACGCGTTCATATTGGCAAGATCAGTTGGATGCGCTTCATGCGCTCCATCCGCATTCCGCTCCTTGGGGCTGCAGAGTTCGTGGGAGCACCGTTCGGGAGCACCGGTTCGGGCGGGTCGCTCGGTGCGTCGCTGCCGCCGGTGCGTGCCGCGTGCCGGAACAGCCCTCAGGAGATCTCAGCGGCCATCGCATGGCTCTACTTGTTCGGATTGGCCGGAGAATCGGGATCGTCTGAAGCCTTGGTCGATCGGGATGTGGACAGGGCCGTTGAGATTGCTCGAGAAGGAGCATTTCAATCGAAGTGTGGTCGATGCTTCTCTTTGCTGGGCTTCCTTTTGGCTGTGGGATTCCCACCATTGCTTGGAGCAGCACACTTGACAGAAGATAGTGCTGGGATGCCGCGCCTGGTGTTTCTGGGTGATGTTTTATCAGACTTGTCCATCTATGCAGCACGCTTGCCTCGAGACATTGGTGCTCCTGATCCTGCTGCTGCGGCATATACCATTGCGTCACAACAGGGAGATGCGATTGGTCTCCTTGCAACCAGCTATTTGAGCCAAACAGGACTCATCCATCTGGACACCTACCGAGCACCCTCACCCAATCGTGCCTCCTCCATGATCTCTCGCCCGCCGCATCCGCGCCGCGGCGATGCCGACAAGAACGGCGACCCACGGTCCGCGGTCCGCGCGCGTGACACGGACCTGGCAAGGTCCTTGGGCCATTTGGCCTCCGAGGTGCTCCAAAACCTGCAGAACACGAGCGGTCGCTCCTGGGGTGCTTTACCTGGCCCTTTATCCGGAAGATCCACCGATCGCTCCGACGTGGCCTTTGTGGAGCTTGTCTTGGCCGACGTGGCCAATGCAAGAGCTGCGGACCTCGCACGCGCGGCAACGTTGCTGGAAGGAAATCCTGAGATGTCTCAGCATCTTCCGGAGATCGCACGTCAACATGCCAACGTCCCGGAGCTTATTTCATCAGCAGCTGAAAAGGGGGATCGAAGATCAGCACTTCGTGCCGCAGTCGATTTTCTCCAAAGCAACAAGACAGAGCAAGCAAAACCCCTTTTGGAAGCAGTTTCGCAGGCAGAAGACTCTGAGGAAGCCATGCGGGCCATGGCCCAATATTACCTAGTGCGATTCGTCGACCAGAACGAGTCAAGCCAAGAAGAAGCAAGAAGACTTGCATGGCCTCATTTGCTCCAAGCGGCCGATTTGGGGCGCCAAGATGCACAATTGTTGGTGGCTCATGCCCACGTGAGCCCCAACGACTTTGCAGCTCTGGAAGATGAGCTCGACCAAAACACGACGTCTGCCCGAGAGGCCCAACGGCGTTATCGTCAACTGGTCGGAGGCCAGGGCCAGGGCCAGGGCGAACAGGGCCGGCCGAAGGGGAACCTGTCAGAGGTGCAAACTTTTGCAGCGTACAATTTGGGCGTTTTATCCTTGCACTCGCACGATGGTCCAACTGGTCCGAGTGGTGGTCACGAGGAACCTCGTGACACAGGCGGGACCCGCTCCGAGGCGAAGCTCGGCTTGCAACGTTGGGAACGAAACGAGTCGGCGCGAGTCGGCGTAGAGTGTAGTACTGGTACGGATTTTAAACTGGGCGGAAGTGTTGAAAGGCTATTTTCTAAGTCCTTCTTCTCAAAGCCTTCAGCTTTTCCGGAACTGGAGCCGAGGCACGAGATGTTTCAGCAGGTGGCGCTCTCGCAAAGTCACATCGTTCGGCTCGTCTTAGCGCTGGAACGTCGAGCAGCGCAGCTGGGAGATCTGCATGGAGCACTCTTGCTGGCGATGCTGTTGAGTGAACCAGACATGATAGGGAGATAGGGAATGGATGACAAAGTTAAACTACCATAAAACTAACTATACCCAGCATCAACATCATATGTGGTGCATCGAACCGAGCAATGGTATCAATATCAATTTGGTTTTGACCCAGTAGGTTTGCAGGCATGCATGTTTTTCTTCTCGCGGAGCGTGTGACCCTTGATCTAACAAATATATGTAACAGACCCAGTTTTGGGAAGGCTGGGCAGGTATTAGCAGGGAGACCGGAACGACGCTTTGAAAGAGTAGGTATAAACCATAGACTGTGGTCTGCCTATTTTCAATACACAGCCGTTTTAGACCATTTTCCATTTGTCCATCATGTTTCGTCTTTTTCGTGGGTGCCACGCGGCAACCAAAAGACCACACGCTCGTGGCTTCGTCTCCGCGCTCGCCGCTTCCGGCGGCGGAGACGCTCACCGAACGGGCGGTGCAACGGTCAGGTGACATGGGGCATGTGCTGGGCCATATGGATGCAGCACACCTATGGGACCAATGGTCACATCTCCGGCCTCCGCATCTACGCACATTGAACGAAGACGAAGTAGACAAGGAAGAAGAGGCGTACATTTTTTCTTTAATTTCTATTTGTTTTCTCATGACTCATGAGGTACTATCATGATGACTATATATAATGTATATAATGACTATCATTACATATCATGACTCAAAAAGGAATTTAGACACATCACGAGAAAGGAGTCAGGCATTGTCGCCGACATATCCTTCTCTTATTCAGCGGAATCATGGATTTCTCCCCCATTCTTTCACCTGGAGGTGCATCCCTGCGACTTGCATGGCTGGTGGAAGACGGCGACGGCAGATTTACTGGACCAGAACGTGACGACACTCTTTGCAGCAAGGGATGCTCGACAGAAATGGCCACCTTTCGGAAGGAAACATTAATTACATCATGGCCATCAGAGTCCCAGAGTCTCACGATGTCCCCCGAGTCCGCACGTGTTTTTTTAAGAGTACATCAAGATCTGAGGTGCTTGGTGGTGGTTCTGACCTCAGTACGAAGCAAATACTAAGCAAAGTCATCAAGCTTTGCTTCATGGCTTTTCGTTGGGACGGCTGCCGTTTTGTCCTAGGCTTTGAGATGTTCAACGTCAGCGATGACCAGACCACCTTGGCCCACCTCTCTGGTCTCGAAGGAGAGATGACGATGCCTCGAGCGACAGGAGATTTCCAACATTTGCACTCCTTCTTGCGCCACGTCAGCGATTCCAACTTTCTCAACAGGAAGTGATTCGTTTCAATTCAATTTTGCTTCTGTTTTTCAATGATTCGTTTCGCAATTCCAACTTGCTCAACAGGAGGTCGTTTTCAATTCGTTTTTCAATGTTTTTGACGTTTTTGAGGTGGAAGCAGGTTGGAACAATCTGTCAAGTCGAAGTCTTAGGTTAGCGAATTGTGGATACTGTATAGTTCTTTGCTTCACTACTGATCTCTGGAACTATCAGGCCCCGAAAGGATGACCATGTTCCAAATACCAAACAGCTTGTGAACTCCACTTCCGTCATGATTCCAGGGAGTGCACATAGTGCACATATGGTTGTCGATCTAGAAGTCCTAATAGGTAGCGTTGTTGACAATGACCCTGGAACATGTCAAAGCCTTATTTGGCGAAAGTTTTTTCTCGAGTTCGCGCAAGTAATTCTTTTTTGGTTAAAGATATGGCCAAAGATGTTCTTTCTGCTGCTTTTGCTACTGCTACTGCTACTATACTGCTGCTACTACTACTACTACTGCTACTGCTCCTGCTCCTGCTCCTGCTCCTGCTCCTGCTCCTGCTCCTGCTCCT